AACGTCGTACTCAGATTGTGAATGTTGTGGCTTGGCTCTCCAACACACCGGTTAGTGCTGTACTAGTACACTACACTATACACTACTATACACTACACTATACACTACACTACTATATACTATACTACTATACACTACACTATACACTACACTATACACTATACTACTATACACTACACTATACACTACACTATACACTACTATACACTACACTATACACTACACTACTATACACTACACTACTATACACTACACTACTATACACTACACTATACACTACACTATACACTACACACTAGTGCTGTACCAGTGACGAATTGGCCACGTTCTGTTTACGTGACAACCCTTACTAGTTGGCTGTGCCGGGTGGTGGCGGGTTTTAACGACACATTCATATATTTACGCGATCTAACCCACCCCCCAAAAAACCCTCTCTATTGTGGATAATTAAACCACGTTGCACTGCGAAGCGAGCCACGGCGACTCGAATCCATCACTCTGTGCAGTAACATACCTTGTGGCGAGGCCCCGCTCGCTACCTGTGCCTAATTACTTATGCATGGCATCGCGATGGTCGTCTCGCGCATATTTATTATTTATTCTCTTCACGCACCAAAGCGCCTTGCTGTGTTGCTCGCCAGCAATGAGGCAGCCTCAGCAGGGGGGGCTCGCAAGCGGTGATTTTCTTTTTTATTATTTCATTGGAGACACTTTTAGCGGATTTAGCCGTCATGTTGACACAAGGCGGCTTGCAGATCTGGAAGGGTGATATTTGATGTTTCTTCAAGTTCTCAGCGAGCCCGTAGTGCCGGTTTTGTTTGCACTCCAAGCTGCTCCCGTCAAAAATTGGACAGGTGGAATGGATCTCACCAAGCCTTCAGATAACCCAACTTCATATTGAAAGGATTAATGAACAATGCTACCTTTTTGCAATTTTTATTCGTATTTTCTCACAGCCCGATAGATTTACCAAAATGAAGGTATATGGTCCATTTTCTTTATAGCATTTTCCACGTGCAGTACTGCAACGTGTTGAGGCAAGTTTGAATATTTAATGTTAATAAGAGTTAAGAAGAAACACCACATAAATAATTCAACATTTATAAAGGGTCATATTCATTAATTGGATTATTACACGTATGAAGGTTATATTCAATATTATTATGATTTGTTAAAATACTCTTCTGGCATATGCCTCTAAAGGTATTTAGTCTTATTTTTAACACTGCTGGATAGCATTAGCAGTCGTACTTTGCTGAGCTTATTTTGATGGCTTGCAGTATGAAGGAGGTGTCTTTTCGAGTCGTTCTTATTAACAAAAAAAAAGTGGGTTTCTATGTATGGGGAAAAAAACAAGAGCACAATTCGACGAGCTCTGGAGGAAACGTGCGGCTCATTAGTAATGCAGTGAGGCAAGGTCACGAAAAACGACGAAGGAACTTCGGTCAGCCTGAATTCTCATCGCACAACGATACCCTCCCTGGTGGCACCCGCAGTCTAACTCTGCACACATAATGCTTACTCGTTGTTTCAATATTACTTCTGACAAGAATGCGTTTTTTTTTTATTCATTACAGATTCCTTACCAGTTGCACTCCCCTCCGAGTCGCCATGAGGCTGCAGACAGCCCAATTCACGGTCGTCCCAATGGCTGGGTGTTAATTTCAGTTTACCCACTGTCGCCCAGATATTGCCCACACTTGTATTGCTTAGTGCCACCAGCGTACCACGCCGTGCCAGCTTTGTATTCACAAACCACCTGAGAGCCATTATCCCCCACCGTTCCATCATCGCAAATTGTGACCTTTTGTTGTACTGTGAAAAAGAAGAATACAAAGTTACGGCTCAGCCAAATTACATGCTGTATGCTATAGATTACTTTTGTTTACAAAAGCAAAAAATGCACTTTGGTGGGTGCAGTGGTTGTGAACACAATTATAGCCACCGTCTTATTTACATTTTGATTGTTTGTCTGAGAACTAGTACACACTGATGCAAGTGATGCGCAGTGCACTCAGTTGAAAAGTATGCCAGGCTTGAAATGACCGCTTACTTTTTTGATGAATGATAAAATAATACAACTACAAGCAATGTTATGTATAGGTTCAGGTTTGGCATCAACATATAAACAAGGACCACGCAGAATATGACTAAACATTCCAAAATGTTCGTTCGTAAGGTTCAAATCGCAGTCAGTCTGGGACTCAACTTTCCTCCTCCTTTAACCTTCACTGACTGGCATGGTGAAGGATGGTCAAACAACCCCCGTGAGAGACACAGCAGTGGCTTGATAAAGATCTGTAGATTAGGGTTCATTGTTCTTGATGGGGCAGCAGGGTGGCACAGTGGTAACTCTTGTGTGTCACGGGAAGACTTGTTTGGGTTCGATGCTCGACTCGTGCACCTTTCGACGTGGAATTTGTATGTTCTCCCCCTATATTTTTCGTTCTTTCGGTCAAGTCACGGAGATAGTAAAGAAAAAAATCTAAATTTAAAGCAAAAAACTCACGACGTTTCGATCGCAACACAAGTGGTCTTCTTCAGGTGGAAAGAAAAGAGGGCCAACCTCCAGATGTAGCTACCGAAAGAACCAGGAATATGAATTCTTGCAGTCACGGATGTTCTCCCCCTGTTGTGCATGGGTTTCCTCCAATATCTCCCCATTGCTAAAAAATAATCCCAATATAACTAGTCTCAGCCAAACATTCCAATTACCTGCAAACTACTCAAATGGCATTACACATAGCCGCAACATCATCGCCCCCCTAATGCAAAACTTGGCAGAACCCTCCTGAAAAAGAGCCTTGAGACTCGGTGAAACTTTTCTGGGTAACGCCAGCGAAATAGGTTTCAACTTTTGTTCCGCTTCCATAAATAGCAGTGTAGTGGTACACCATCACAACAAGGGCATTAGCTAACGGTGACTCAACACGAGTATCCTCTCGTCGCCGTGGTGAGATGTTAATTACCTCGCCTAGTATGCAGGAGGTCAGGGGTTTGATCCCGACCCTGACACCTATATATTTGGAGTTTGCGTGTTCTCCCTGTGATCGTGTGGATTTTTCTCCGGGTCCTCTGGTTTTTCCTCCACATTTTGAATCAACATGCGTTTAAAGTATTTGCATGCTATACATTTCTACGTGATAAGCGACTTTTTGCGCTATCATTTGTGGCCAGGTTACTTATGAAAAGAGCTATGTAGCTCAGTGGGCCTTACCCGGTAAAATTAAACGTTTAGTCAGTTTTAATTTAGTTTAAGTACACATCGGTGTGAAAACAAGAGCGTTTATGATGATGCCAATAATTCATATCTACAGCAAAGTGCGTAATACGTACCTTTCAGCCCCCTAGTTCAATTCATGTGCCTACTGGGGTAATTTACATGTGGACTGACATCGAGATTCCATTGCAGTTGCTTGCTTCCGTCGCTGCTGGTGAAATGGCATCTGCGAGATGGAACTTTAGATGGCCTTTCTCGTGGGTATTTCTTTTGTTACCGCACTCTTGCATGCCCACCAGAAGAACTTGGAAGAGGCAAGCGTACTCACAATTTACCCCACCCGCATGCCACCTGCTGATCGGCTAAGAGTAATGCCGGGTGGTGGACAAACGTGGAGAGATTTAAGAGACTCGCACCGCTGTTTGAACTTCCATGCTGGGAGATTGAACCGGCGACATTTGGACTGCAAGCCCAGTGCGATACCGGTCACACCGTAGCGTCAGTGTCAGATTCCATTGCGGTGTTTGAAAACTGTGTTTTGCTGTTTTATTTGTTGCCCCCTTGAAATTGGACAGCAATTATGGGCCGTGACCTTCCTTTGATCGCAGCTTAATCAGCTGGACGCCAAGAAGGAGATAATTCTCTTCCTTCCTTAGTACACTTTGATACGTGGATCTGTAGATGTAATGAGAGAAATAAGTTTAGGCAGCATTGAATTCCTTGACACACAATTTAGTGATTCCATTACAGATATGGTAATATACAAACCTTCAGAATAACACCATTTTTAGCTTTCATAAAACGGGATTTGCATTGAAAGATACTATGAATAATTTCCAGTGTACAAAAAACAATTTTATATAAATCTGATTAAATATATAACACCTTTCTGTGTTTGACCATCTCATCACCAGGGAAAAATGGAAATCCATCCAAGCACTACCCTTACTTAATCATAATACAAAATAAACGCGAAATAAAATTAAAAATATACACGTACGACGAGCTACAATGATCCGTCGGCATTGACCTTATTTTAAATTTCTCGGGAAAGATTTGCGACTATTTAGCACCTCGTGCATTCCATGAAGTCACAAATTTGGACGTCGTTAAAAAGTGTGGATATGAAGGAAGTCGACACCAGGGATGTAGAGTTTATTGAAATTCATGGCATTGACAGGTAAAACATTTTAGACGTTGGTAATAATAATTGTACTTCGCATTGTGTCGAATACTGGTGTCAACACCCACGTGTGCCCTCTGTGTGTACCTGAATCGTTTGTTCAGTGAAAAAAAAAATAGTGTGGATATTTTTCGATTTAAAGCTTTCGTGACTGCAGGGATTCATCTTCTTGGTTCTTTCGGTAAAGTCACATAGAAGGGAAATAATAAAATAATGAAAATAAAACATAATAAAATACAATTCTCACCACGTTTCGACCACAACGCAAGCAGCCGTCCTCAGGTGAAGAACAGGGCTGTCGGAAAGACTTCAGACACTGTCTTTCTGACAGACCTGGTTTTCACCTGAGGACGGCTGCTTGCGTTGTGGCCGAAACATCGTGAGAATTGTATTGTATTATGTTTATTTTATTATTTCCCTTCTACGTGACTTTACCGAAACAACCAAGGAGTGTGGATATTTTTGGAAGACGCGCTCGCCATGCAGCGCAACAATGGCGAAGGGGGCTCGGAGTGTCGGTACGCGACGCGGACTTCGTGCCTCGCACTAATTGGCGTCGTGTTTCCCCCCCCCCCCCCCCCCCCGCGTGTACTCCAGGCTGCGACATCGAGCACTGGGGTCCCCACTGCAGCAACCGCTGCCAGTGCCGCAATGGGGCGCGCTGCAACCCCATCACCGGCGCCTGCGTGTGCGCCGCCGGCTTCCAGGGCTGGCGCTGCGAGGAGTCGTGCCCCACCACCACCTACGGCTTGGGCTGCCAGCTGCGGTGTCAGTGCCAGAACGGTGCCACGTGTGACCACGTGACGGGCGAGTGCCACTGCCCGCCCGGCTTCACCGGTGCATTGTGAGTGACTGCGCCGACACCACCACCACCGCCACCGCCGCCGCTATTCAGAACTCCAGTAGTAATTTCCTTTACACAGATGCAGACTCTTATCAAAACCTTATAAATAAAACAAAAAAATCCATCGGGTATGGAGCATCGGAAATTTTTTTAATGCAATGCAGCGCTGAAGATGATGAATTTGTGGGAGGATCGCCGATATGCGTGAGGGTTTCAGCCGGCCAAGAAAGATGAACGCCCGAGTGGTCAAGCAGCAGGAAGCATGTCCTCGTCCTTGTTGGTAGACACATCGCATCCGGCACTGCTCATTATGCGTAGATGTGGAGAATCATGGTTGATAACATATATAAACAGACGATCATTCTGTCTCCGTGATAAATAATGTTTAAGTTATGAGCCTTTCGGATTTCCAGATGGAGTGCCCTCGCTAATCACATCTGGTAAAACCCAGCAGCATTTGTTGATGTCGGCTGGGCCAAGCCGCCTTTGACAAAGAGCATCTTAGCTCAGCGGGCTTTACTCTGTGGAAAATACAATTCTGGACTCTGATCCAGTTTAGTAAGCCTCTCTGATGGATGAGACTCAGAATGTCTAAACTGGTCAAGAGTTTTGCTTGCACGAACTAATGATGCTGATTGATTTTAGTCTGCCTGTCTTCCTGCAAAAAGAGTTTCAGAACTCGGTGAGGCTTTCCTGAGTAAATACTCATATAAAAAAATACTATTTTCGTTTTATTATTATTATTCATTTATTTAAAGTGTGGTACGAGCATCTAGGTATGTTTTCTGAGATGCATTGTTCTTTCTATTTTGTTATAGGGTTCCTCAGTCCCTATTAAAGAAAAAGAAGCCCAATTTGATCAGAATGAACTGCATATTGGGAATTCAGGCAGGCCAGAGATGTTATTGAATTTTAGTGAGATTCTAGCCAGAACTTTAGAATGAATGACCCTCGACAAAACTGTATAGTTTAACTTTCAATAACACACATGAGCTTCAACACCAGCAGATGAGTAAGCACACGCTACGTTCGTGTAGGTTTCGTTTTTATCGTTGGGTATATTAATAGTTTGGAATAAAATTAATCTTCTTCCAAGTATAACATTCCCGTGATTTAATTTTGGATTGAGAGTAAGTTATCTCTATTTAAAGATGCAGCAACGGACAGAAAATTGTGGCGTAGGAGACAGTTGTGTTCCTGTAACTCAAGAGCCAAGGCAGGAGAAGACGAATATATTTATTGTACCTTTGAAGGCATATGATATCTGTTTATTGTCATCCCTTTTCTCAACTTATTTGATATACAGCACTTCATTTAGCAGTGGATTGACAAAGGGGTTTACATTTATATCATTATTTGAAACCCCACTATATTGTACTTTAGTATAGTGCGTACAATAGAGCATTGTTGCTGTTGTAAAATATGATGAAGGATTATTATAGCTTTGAATAATTTGACTGGGCAGCAAGCATACGACACTCCCATATACACACATGTGAAATTATCAAACGTCGTCTTCGTGTCGTTTAGAAATGTTGTCGAGACAAACCACACCCGAGAGAATGTCTACCGAGGGCACGGAGCGATTGAATCATCTCGTGTGCACGTGCTCGCAGCTTGGTACATTGCGAGACCATAACAGACGGAGGCATCAGCCCAGCAGTGGTTAGAGCATGGCTGCTTCTTCTTGGTTCTTTCGGTAAAGTCACGTAGAAGGGAAGTAATAAAATAATAAAAATAAAACGCAATAAAATAATTCTCATGACGTTTCGGCCACAATGCAAGCACCCGTTCTCAGGGGAGACAGCTGTCTCCCCGACAGACGCTGTCTCCCCGACAGACCTCGTCTTCACCTGAGGACGGCTGCTTGCGTTGTGGCCGAAACGTCGTGGGAATTATTTTATTATGTTTTATTATTGTATTACTTCCCTTCTACGTGACTTTACCGAAAGAACCAAGAAGATGAATCCCTGCAGTCACGAAAGCTTTAAATCGAAATTTAGCATGGCTGCTGTTTCTGCTGCTGACGACGATGGCAGCAGGCTTCTTACGCGTTTTCTGTACAAATCGGTGTGATTGTTTGACCGTATTTTGTCGTTCCCGTGGGGTGCGCGCGCGCGTGCGTGTGCGCGTGTCCACTTGTGCGCTTGCGTGCCGAGACAGCTGTGAGGAGGTTTGTCCTCCCGGGAGCCACGGAGCCCAGTGCGAGCTGCGATGTCCGTGTCAGAACGGAGGCGTGTGTCACCACGTAACGGGAGAGTGCTCCTGCCCAGCGGGCTGGATGGTATATATGCACACGCACACACACACACAATAGCCAAAGATAACCCCCCCCTATAGCCTTGAACAGACTGTCGGAGCAAGTAGTGTCCGTGAACACCCACTCAGGCCGGCACGGCACATGAGAGGGTGGGTTTGTGGCCGGCGCAATGCCAGGCTGCCTTTGTCTCCCCAGTGCTGCTATTTACACGCTGCAGGTACTCATTGAAGGCTGAGTCGGCCTAGGGGAGACCGATTCAGATGGTCATCGCTCATGTTGGCCATGAGCGGGAATCAAACTCGGGTCGCCGGGTTCGTGGTGCATCACGCGAACCGTTGCACTATCGCCCCCCGACGCTCCACACACAGGCGCACACACTCTCCATGGCGGTTAGATGAGTGGATGAGGCCAACGAGGATGGAGGGAGCGAGATGTAGGTTGAAGTTGAGGTCAGAGGCTGGGTGCGCGTGCAGTGTGAGCTTGGGGTGGTATTTTAGTTTTTATTGAATGTGTTAGATACTTGGGGAAACTCCAAGGAGCCTTCAAAACAATCCAACAAGTAAGTAAGCCCCAACATTCTATAAAAATTTAGTTTCAGCTGCATGAGCTGCTCATATCTCCGGGCCCTGGAAAATGCAAAAACTTGTAATAAACACCACATTAAATATTAATATAAAAGACATACAGCAAATGTTGTATGAATTATGGATGTAATAATACATGACAAAAACACAGGGATGCCATGGTGGTCTTGTTATAAAGTTCATCCCTTGGAAAAAAAAATCCGGAAGAATGTGGAACTTTTTATAATTAAGGGTATTTTTGTGCAGAAATGTCAAGGTAATGTATATGATTTGTTTTAATTCGAAACTGAAAATTCATAGTTCTGTGTTGAAAAATGGAAAGTCTTAAATTTGTATTGTGTTCACCGTTGTTAAGGCAGGTACAAACATGCAATGAATCAGCAGCACAAATTATTTTAAAGCCCCTTTTTATTTCATGAAATGTTTCTTCGATGCCACAGCCTGTGTTATCAGTCACATGTTTAATATTAAAGCTTTCACACTTTGAATTTATTGACAACAATATGCAGATTTATGGTATAGATAAATGCAAGAAAAAAACCTGTCTGCCTTGGTCGCTAATTTATGTGACAGGAAACGGTGTCAGCTGTCATGCATGGAAGCTTAGTTTAAACCTGGTGAATAAACGTTCTTGTTTTGTCCTATGGACGACATTGCTTAAAGATGAACACTGCAATAAAAAAAATGCGCTTTCTATTTTTCTTGTTCTATCTCTCTGGTGCAGGGGTTTGTGTGTGGTCAGCCCTGTCCACCCAGCAAATACGGTATAAATTGCTCTCAAGAGTGCCAGTGCCACAATGGAGGGCAGTGCGACCACATTTCTGGACAATGCAACTGCGCAGCAGGATTCACCGGAGACAGGTGAGAACAGCATGTTTCATTCATATCATTCTAGTGAGGCTGCTGCTGCTGCTGCTCTGATGTAACTATTGGGGCTGCTCTGTTGCTGGACACCATGGCTTGTGACTTTTGTACGTCTGTTATCCCATTATGAGCAGGAAAACACGTGCCTTTTCTACTTGGAGAGAAAAAAAAAGAATGATGTTTGTTGTGGACATCTTGTGTCGGTATAATGTGGTCATCACGTTGAGTATAGCGCACTTGCGTTTCTTGTAAGCTCTTGGTCACCACTCAATTCCGTGCAAGATGACGTCAACCGGAATCAGTTGGTGCTTTGGTAGGCTATCGTCCAATAGTGGATTGATTATTATGGATGATGATGATGATGATGTTTGTTGTGATCATTGTTATGGAGGTGTCATGTGATCACCTTGTGTACTGAAGCCCACTCCACCTAACTTGTCAGCTCTCGAAACTTGGTTGACCTCACAAGATATTTAGAAGGACAGAATTGACTAACATATTTAATTCGTGATCATTGTGCAATACAAACACCGTATTCTTCGTATTATAAGACACACTTTTCCCCCCTATATTTTAAGAAAAAGTTTGAGATGCATCTTATTGTAATCTGATAGGTGCATGTGAGTTTGATTTGTATAACTTTAATGACACCGGGCACACATTTTTACTGTCTGGAGCATCTTACAATAAAAAAAATGGTATCGGTTATTTTAGTGACTCAAGCATTGCATAATGTATAAATGTCGTTGTGGAAGTTGCTGTTTTCTATTCAACCGTGAATATCTCATTTTGAGCAGAACCTTGCATTTCAATGTTTGGCAGGTACCTTTTTGAGTATTCTTTTAGTAGTTTTGTTATTTTTTTCGAGTCTTTTTTTACACATTGGGGAGAGTTTGGAATGACTGAAGAAAACTCAGAGTATTATTTAAGCTCCACACAGATTGGTCGGCAGCCTTCTCGATTGCTGTGCTGTTTACGTCAAATCAAATCAGAATCTTTATATTCCAGCTGATAGCCCGTCGAGATTAAAGGCATCTCGTTTGAGGGAGACCTGGGACGCAAAGCAATGCAGAATATGCGATCAAAAGAGCCAAAATGACACAGGGTCGAAATAGTAACCAAGACAAAAAGGAATCACAATATACTCAACTATATGTGACGTTTTGCGAAAAAGAAATGAAGTTGCATTACGTTTAAAATATTTTACCACTTACAATATATCACTTAATGTTCTAGCATTTCATATTATCCAAATAAGAAACCCGATGAAGCCTTAACCACTGATTGTAAGGGAAATGCACAAGTGTGGACGATGCACTATTGTTTCACGTATGTACACTTTACAAATATAGTATTTACTCTGTGCACCTTGCTGACCAGTAGCTGAGTGTCTCATGAATATCATCTCAGAACGATTCCCCAGCACTGCCTCCAAATCGCTGGATTGTAGGCATGTACCCCCCCCTGCCCCCTACAGTCAAAATACATTTGTATAAAGGTAAAGGTGCGGCCATACAATTTATCACTCACACCACTGCTGGCAGAAGGGCCTCCGCGACACATCGCTCTAGAGCCCCTCTAGAAGGTATGTTGGTCTACTCTTCCACGCTGCCCAGATGTCTTGGAGAGGTTATAGTGCCCACACTTTACCACACCACATGCCACCTGCCTGTTAACTAACTTTGAACACATTTGTACCCCAGCCTCTATTAACACAAGTGATTGTTAGGTTGTTGTCCTCATAGGATACAAATTCCCTGACCTGTGAAAAATCCTCACTTCACCCTGCCACAGCGGTTATTCACTTTAATTACTTTCGATGTAAAGGTCAGCTTGTAAAGGATTCAAAAGAATAGGAGCCTAATTCCAAATAAATGAGTTTAAAATGAGTGCATAATACATGATATAATAGCAAGCCTGAGTCAATTATGTTATGAGCAATCGCAAGTGGAATTCACATGGCATTCGATGTACAGGAATATAATTTTAGAATGTACGTCTACATGAAAAAAGATCAGCTTGTTATCGCAAGACTTGCGTTGACGTATTCATTGACAATTGCTCGCATGATGTTGAACTGTAATGAAAAAGTACTGGTAGCTTTCTGCAGAAACAAAAACTGATTAAAAATTGATCTCTTTCAGCATAGAAAATTGAGGGCATCAAAAACTAATGAGCCTACACAAATGGAAATGTGGCCCCATCTTTCCTGAAAGTCGAAAGATGGAGAATACGCAACAAATTGGTTTTTTGGTGTTGTGCGAAGGACATCTGGTTCACTTTGTGTCAGTCAGTCGCTGCAAGTGAAAACTGCAATTTGATGACTTACATTTTTTAAAAAGTGAAAACGTAAATAAAGAAATATACCAATTCAAAAAAGTGTTCTTTAGTTTGAAGCAAATTTTTATATTCTTAAAAGTTTTTGCATGCATAAGGCATGAAGAATGTCATTTCCTGAAATCCCAGTTGCTTTTTATTTCTCCCAATTTAAAATAAAATCACACATCAACCAATGAGATATTATGTACGAAATCTGATATAGGAAAACCAAGAGTTCACAGCACCACAAGTCTTTACGCCAGATTTCGTGCACTTTTTCAGCGATTCAAAAATTGTTCGGCCCAAAAATAACGGCGCATTTGTATTGCGTGACGTCTTCTAAAAGAATGAGCATTGCTTGAGTCTAAGATAATATTATATATTTTCTGTAAAATGCAATACGTGTAGGCATTACCCTACAGTGTGACCCTTAGGGTATATCCCATAGGAAATTCAACTTTTAAATTTCATATGTTCCCAAGAGTAATGTCACGTTCAGGAAAAACCCCATCCACCGAGCACACATCTACAGCTGCTATGGCCACCTGGGACAACAATGCTGTTTGCATGTCATCCCAACTTCTTTATACGCAAGTCCCCGTTCCTGTCTTGGTCACCATTGAGCAATGCTGTCGGACGAACTTGTTCTGAACTACAACATCTTGTAACATGCCACATCCTAAATGGTCCACAGGACACCAATGCGGACACAATTAGGATTCCATAATGCTTGCATGTTTTGAACACAATGTCACAAACACATTGTGCCTGCCAATGCAATATCCAAACAGTTGTACACTCACAACGCATAATTTAAAGAAGTGTAGACATTTTACGATTACGTGTACAATGGTTTGTGGCGGCAGGAAATGTTATATCGTCTCTGCTGTATGAGCATTGTGTCCAGAGGACTGAAATTTATGTGTACGAGACGTTCCTATAGGAACCTGCAAAAATGTTAAGCCCTGGTGTATGGTCCAATATTAAGCAATCCCTAACTGAAATGTTTAACTGTCGTTCTCACCCATTTGTATGATTAACTTTTTATTGTACGAGCTATTAGGTTGCATAAGAGTATGATAGGCAGTCTTGGGTAGGGCCAGTAAAACTCCCACGACAATAGAGTTAACACAGTAGTATGTTAATTCCAGTTTTTTTTGTTTCATAAGGACAGATAAGCAAGAAAATCAGGCAGCTATCTCTTACACTAATTGGCAATTAAGAACAGCCCAGAGTGTGGACTGGACTGTGGTCACCAAATCTCAAACCATGGCCGGCGCAGTAACACCACTGCCTGCTTCCATCATTCACTGGCAGCCGTTGAGATATTCAATAGGTTCCATCTGAATCCACCCACTGGATGACTCACTAACCTTGAGATGAACACACAAATGTTGCCTATCAACTCTCTGCCAAAATAAACAATAAATCAGCCTGTTTAAGAAGTAAACCCTAGGTTTACAAGAAGCAAACCTCAAAGTGCCACGCTTGACCAATTCTCTGCCTGTGCCCCAATACAATCATCTCCCCTGGAAGATCGCACCAGCTCGACTTGAACTTGTTTATTTTCAATGCAATGAAATGCACATTGGGTAGAATGCTGTGCCTTCTGGAGCGACTTGATCTGGCCGCGGCAGCTGGCAGACATCTGGATTGTCCCACTCGAACATTTTGCCAGGGAGCTACTGCATTTGATTTTAGTGCAAGTGGAAAATGTTTGTGCAAGGTGGATGATTACATCATAGGATCATGAAGGAGCATTATGGTTTTGGGGTGGGGGGGACTTCGTCAAAAAGTGGATTGATCATGGCTGATGATAATGATGATGCATACAAATACAGAATTAGAGAAGCAGGAATAATCTAGCTTGATAAATGCAATGCTTTTCCATTGCATTTTCTCTCTGTATTATGCACTCACTTTTCGCGACTGCAAGGATCCATACTCTTTGGTTCTTTCGGTAAAGTCACGTAGGTGAAAAAAAAAATATTTAGATATTTCTATTTTTTTTATTCTTAATTTTTTATTTTCATTTAATTTTTTCACCTACGTGACTTTACCGAAATTACCAAAGAGTATGCAATGTTTTTGTTCGTTATATAAATCTTTATGGAAGTTGTAGTGATATATTTTATACCATAAGTAAAACAAAAGTTACGATAAACAAAGCCAACACTTTATAGCTGGATGTTTAATAAAAGAAAATGTAGCATGTTTTGCAAAAATGTAATTATAATAATTTAAATATTTCATTAATATTTGTAAGTTTAGATTTAAATAGCTGGCACTAATTATTAAGGCACTTTAAGAGTGTTCGCCTCCAATTTGTGGGAAACTATTGAATATTGTATTTTATGTGAGGCTTTTATATGAGGTTTTGATTACTTTACATTATTTATGAAATCTCCATTTGCATAACAGTATCCTCGAGTGTTTAATAATGCTCCTAAGATAAATAAAACCTTTTCTGCCAAAGAGGCATATCTTTATCATAAATTACAATTACAGCTCCGATCACGCAAACGCTGAAATAGTGGGATTAATTTGCACAAATATCAACTCCTCAACGAAACTTAACGCCTTCGAAAAGCCCATGCGCATGAATCCACAGATGCCGCATTTGCTTTGCCCAGGGCGGTAAGCAGTGGTTAGTTTGTCTTGAATCCTCACGTGACGTCCACATTCGTTATCCACCCGCAGTTTCCCCCTCCTCCGAATCCACGTAGCAATGACGAGGAGTTCCCATGTTTTTGTTTTGCCAAGCTATGCAGTATACCGCTGGTGAGAATTGCACTGCAATAATGGAACCAGACTGTCAGATTATTTGCACAATTTTCGTTCATTTCTATAGCTTTCTTTGCACATTTTAAAATTATTTCTAGATTTTGGGTATGTAACGCAAGATACTTGCGACTTCCGCAGTATATTCGCCGTCAAATACAGTTACGTTAGTGATGCAACAGAAATTTGTTTCATAACTTTTCCGATGTCTTTTTGTTGATGAGAAACACCACTGACTCATTATTATTATTATTTTTGCCATCCCATCGGACCAGCTGACGACGCAGAATCATAGTAAAGTAACACCTCCTTGTCTGATACACAGAGTTGCACAAGAACACATTGTTCCAGCAAAGGCGATATGTCGCAGAGGAAATTCGTCATCTCTGTGTGCTATTGAGACATTACTGTGTATGCATTAGCACTGTAAAAGTCCCTGGTGAAACGATATAGTGAATTTACTACATATAAGAAAGTCATCCCCTGATGTGTAATGCTGCTTTTATGCCTGCGCCACTGGAAATGTTACGTGACCGCGCACATTTCACCTTATAGATGTAGATTAACGGACACCGTTGTTGCTGCCTAATTGTTATGACACATGAGAAGTTAACGATACAATGGAAACTAATGAAATGCTAAGCCCGCCCATACGTCTGTTAATTGGTTTTCAAAATTTGAATCGTTTTGGATATTTTATTGGGTTAAGGTTATTTGTTCTGCCTTTGTAAATTGTATGTGTTACAGGAGAATAAACATTTAATGTTTTATTAGTTATGGTAAATTAGCGTGCATTATATAGACACATAAACCGTTTAACAAATACAAACGTGCAAACCCTGCTGTATTTGTCTGGCAAATTGCATGTGGTGTACGTATATTGCATGCAACACATATGGGTTGACATGCATCGATGCTTAATAATAAATCTATACTAAATTATAATTGAATGCTTGCACACGTGGTTCAATGTTTGCATCCTGAGATCAAACTTGATAAATAATTATCGATGAGCGTTCCACTTAAAGCAAATAAAGTGGTGTAAACCGCAATGGCGATGACGTTTTTTGTTATTAACATTTCCAAAATTTATCCGTAAAATCAGCTGCTGTTGTCCTCTCATGCCGGGCACACACCTCAATTTCATAGAGCCCACGGCCACATGAGGGCTACCGAATTTAAACAGCCTACAAACGAGAATTATCCATCACCGCAAGCATCTTATTCACATGTATCCTGTTCGAGTGGAATATTTAAATTCTGGCAGTTTTTTTTGTATGTTTTGCTAGTCCATGATGAATGTCAGTTTAACGCGTAGGCTTTCGCGTAATATAAATGTGTCGTTAAACCCGTCACCACCCGACACAGCCAATTAGTAAGGCGTGTCACGTAAAACAACGTGCCAATTCGTTATTAGTTCAGCACACTGGAGTGTTGGAGAGTAAACCCACAACGTTTAGAATTCGAGAACAAACCAGCGTCATAAATATATTATTCGCTATAGTCAGATGTAAACAATCTAACAAATGCATAGGGTGCAAACCTTGCCATGTTCACCTGGCAAGACAAACACCTCGATTACAAAATAATTATAAGATAACATTTTAGCACGCTTAGTAACTTTAGACGGCAGGGGCCTCTTGCAGCGAGGGAAGCGACGACTGAGGTGGTGTGTGTTAATGTGGAGTTGCCCGATAGAGGTATTGGCAGTCCTATTTGGCCCCCAGAAATTAAAAAGGTTTCCCACTCCGATTGCAAGTAGGGTTGCCACCTGAGCTGCAAAAAACTGGGACATACCTTGTGAATAGGAGTATCTCATTTGCAATAGGGGGAGAACAACACACAAATGCATGGTCTTGAGTGGTATATTGTCAAAAACTGTCCAAAAAATCGACTGTTAATGTTCCTAGAATACAATGCGTACATATTCCCCAGGACAGCTTACTCAAGACGAGAACAACCCTGGAGGGGAAAAAAGCAGGGCAGGTGACAGCAGTGGCTGCAAGGCAGCAGGCGCTCACCGCGTCGAACGTACCCGATCAACGCTCGCTTCACACACGCGGCACCCGTGCCTCGTCGCTATCGGCCCTCCCTCCCCTGCCACCCCCTCCCCACCACCACGCAGGTGCCAGGAAGAATGCCCCATCGGCCGCTACGGGCTGGGCTGCGGCAAGCGCTGCGACTGCGCGAATGGCGCCAAGTGCTACCACGTGAGCGGCGAGTGCCTGTGCGAGGCGGGTTTCACCGGCACGCGCTGCCAGGACCGCGTGTGCCACGACGGCTTCTACGGCATCGCCTGCAACGAGATGTGCCCCTGCCACTCGGCCAACACGCTTAGGTGATCCAGCACTTACAATTATATATACCCCCCCCCCCTTCCATATCCTCCTGGATGGAGATGCACGCGGTGAAAGCTTGAGGGGGGAAATGCTCAACACACAGCCCGACCAAGAAACACCGGACTTGGGTAAACATTTGGTATTTGCACCATTGTTATGCTCATTATAGTGCAAGGCTTTCACAAAGGCGCTATGCTCCACATAGTCCGTGGGTCTAAATAAGTGGACGAGTCTAGGAAAACTGGGACAGGTGGGAACGTTAACTGTAATGCACCACGTTTGAATTCCCACTCGCTGTCTTGCCAAAGTATCCTTGGTGTCAGACGTGTAGTCCTGGAGCAGTGGGATAGCCCACCCGGGCATGTTCCACTTGCAGCATCACACATGCTCACCACTGCACCACACATGCTCACCACTGGGTCACACATCCTCACCACTGCATCACACATCCTCACCACTGGGTCACACATCCTTACCACTGCATCACACATCCTCACCACTGCACCACACATCCTCACCACTGCATCACACATCCTCACCACTGCATCACACAACCTCACCACTGGGTCACACATCCTCACCACTGCATCACACATCCTCACCACTGCACCACACATTCTCACCACTGCATCACACATCCTCACCACTGGGTCACACATCCTCACCACTGCATCACACATCCTCACCACTGCACCACACATCCTCACCACTGCATCACACATCCTCACCACTGCATCACACATCCTCACCACTGCGTCACACATCCTCACCACTGGGTCACACATCCTCACCACTGCACCACACATCCTCACCACTGCATCACACATCCTCACCACTGCATCACACATCCTCACCACTGCATCACACATCCTCACCACTGGGTCACACATCCTCACCACTGCACCACACATCCTCACCACTGCATCACACATGCTCACCACTGCATCACACATCCTCACCACTGGGTCACACATCCTCACCACTGGGTCACACATCCTCACCACTGCATCACACATCCTCACCACTGCGTCACACATCCTGACCACTGTATCACAATCCTCACCACTGCATCACACATCCTCACCACTGCATCACATATCCTCACCACTGCATCACACATCCTCACCACTGCACCACACATCCTCACCACTGCATCACACATCCTCACCACTGCATCACACATCCTCACCACTGCATCACACATCCTCACCACTGCGTCACACATCCTCACCACTGCGTCACACATCCTCACCACTGCGTCACACATCCTCACCACTGCATCACACATCCTCACTACTGCATCACACATCCTCACCACTGCACCACACATCCACACCACTGCATCACACATGCTCACCACTGCATCACACATCCTCACCACTGCATCACACATGCTCACCACTGCATCACACATCCTCACCACTGGGTCACACATCCTCACCACTGGGTCACACATCCTCACCACTGCATCACACATCCTCACCACTGCGTCACACATCCTGACCACTGTATCACAATCCTCACCACTGCATCACACATCCTCACCACTGCATCACATATCCTCACTACTGCACCACACATCCTCACCACTGCATCACACATCCTCACCACTGCATCACACATCCTCACCGCTGTAGCTATGGTCCCTGAGCCAGTGAAAATATACCGTGTTTCCAGTTCACTTTCTTATATTTATAATTGGCTTGAGGACTTTGCCGAGGTGCTAGGGAGGGACGAGATGAGCCCAGCGTGCCGTAGCAAGGTGGGTCATCACATAGCAGGACCGAGAGCGTTGGCAGAGGTTTGGGGAGGCATTTAGCCAGCAGTGAATAGATGGTGGCTGATGATAATGAAGATGATGACAATATTTTATTGAACCCAAGTAAATGCATTACAAACTGAATCTTTTTTTTGGGGAAAACCAAATCACATTTGTCTGCATGTCATCAGAGCTACCGACAACGTAATTGTAGTATATGACCTCTCTGATGCACATAGGCTGCTCAAGAAAACATAGTTAATCAGAGATGATATGTGGAATAGAAAATTCATCATTTGAATTTGTTTTTGTGACACTACTGGTTATGTTTCAGTACTACAAATGTATCCAGTGAAAACGGTAAAATAAATTTACAAGATATGCGAGAGCTAACCCCTGATGTTAAATGTTTATTAGATTTAAAGTTATTTTGAAAATTGATTGGATGGGTAAAAAGTGCACATGACCAGGATAAATATGTATATGTTCTGTTATATTTGTTAAATACGTGCGTTTTGGCATATAGGATGAAGTTGAATATTTTGAACCAAAACAAGCTACACATAACCAATTTGGGCAAATTGGGAGGATACTGTCAAAATCGGTGCATTCACCACAGTTCATGAAATCAGTTGAGGCTGTTAGAAATTATTACATTTTTGGAAAATGGAAATTTTAATCGAAAAAAATGTGCAGGTTTTTCAATGTTGGGTAAAAACAGGGCAATTTGGATCCAAACAGGTCAAGATATTTCTCCTATTTATTAATGAAAACCCAATTTACAGATTGCTGCAGGTTTTCAACTTAGTAAATAACTCGGATAAATTAGGATGCATTTCAGAAAAACGCATTTTTTGCTAAATATCGTGCGTGAGATTACATAATAGTGTGCTGATATCATAGGCCAAATCTCATACCGATAAAAATTGCCAACGGCTAGTGAATAAATGTTTTTTTTTCATCTGGCCTCGTATAACTCAGACCACCTTCACAAAACAGATAATGAATCGCAATGCACGGTCACATCGTTAAATTAAGGACATCGGACTGGCATACATCACGTGTGTGTATATATCATATAGACTGCAGCCATTCCTTTTGAGGCTTCTCGAATAAAAACCTGGCAGGCAGCTGTAGGCAAAGGTCGACCTACCCTTCACCCGAAGCGGGCACAGAAACTGAACACTGTGTATTGCAATCGCGTACTAACATGTTGCACTTGCCCACCTGAATCCCAGTGAGGATTATTGCCACTGTGTTCCTGGAATATTTATGTGCTCGTTTTTTTTTTGTTTTTTGGGCATTAAAATAGGCAGTATTTCCTTTCCCCTGTATTTTTTGCTGTTTGCGTCTCCCCACAACCTTGAAAAATGTATCTACATCTGGTAAAAGCCCAACTCAAGACGGAGCAAAACTTTATACTAATGGAATATGAAACATTTAGCGTTTCTTATAGTTGAAAAAATACAAAGAAACGGGCTATTAAAAAGGATGTTTGACATTGTTAAACCCAAATCGTAGATTTAGTCAAGCCGCCCATAACATAGTTAAATGTTAAATGTGAAATGTTTCTGCATTGTCCCAGTTTTGACGCTGATGTGAGATGATTGATTTACGCTGTGGTGTAATTGTCATAATTCTTAATTAAAACGGGCTGCAGCTGTTCGACGCACTAACAGTGCGTTATATTAAATTTTGACTTAAAACTTTCGTGACTGCAGGAATGCATACTCTTGGTTCTTTCGGTAAAGTCACGTGACTTTACCGAAAGAACCAAGAATATAGTGCGTTATATTTCCCAGTTTGCACCCTAATTACACACTCACAACATCCACTACGCTGCCACCTTTGAGCTTTCACTGCTTGCATCTGCACTCTGCTATTCATTTGATTTAAGTGACAAAAGGCCAGGTATATTTTTTTTACATGTCCCCTATCACCGAAGGTCAGCATGGCGAGTCTGCGCTCCACATTAGAATGTTGTAATTAATCTCACCCCGAGATCTTAGGTGGAATTGACAAGCTGTTGTTGCTGTAGTGAAAAACTAGTACCGTGCTCGGAGTCGCTCCCAGCAAAGACAAACGACTCCCCAAGCAGGATTTCTCCTTTTCCGAGACAAGGTGACGGGTCATGGGGCATCAGCAGTCCTTTTTCATTTGGCCTTAGCCCTACAGCTGTGTTGGAGGTCACAGGCTGCTTATGTGTGCTAATCAGATGATATACTGCAGCGTCTCGAAGAAGAAACTATTTATGTGTTGAATGGTGTCACTGCACGGAGCCTGCTGCAAGGTGGTTCATTATCTGTCTCCCCCATCAGAATTTTCCCTTTAACCACCGTTGCTGTTTTTGCAATGAAATAGTTGTTCGTTTTTCACAGTGTAATAATTTAGTGTGGCTCCGAATACACAGAGATGGCAATTGTGTTGTAATGTAACTGGGCATGGAATGGAATATGAGCAAAGATCAACCAATATTAAGCATTGCTCGTCCAAAGGGAGATGGCAAATTAAGTATCCCTAATGTTGATTTATTAAATCGTGGCAGTAAGCTATAATATTTTCTGTGACTGCTCATTACTTGTGGCTGCTATTGTCTGTACAGTATTTCTAATGCAGACTATAGAGCAAACACAAAGGGGAAACAACCAACATCTATAAGAGTCTGAGATGTACATAGAAGTATTATTATAACGTTATATGCTGCCACTATCAAGCCACGAGCAGAGGCACTAATCATATAAATTGGCAGGCTTCAGTACAGCCTTGAAATGCATTGGCATAACAAGTGCTAGCGTTGGGGTTAATCGTACAAAGACTGGCAGTCCACGGACGTCCAACACGAAGCCGCCTCCACAGAAATGTGCTCATGAGGGACACACGTAAATTTGTGGTGCGCCCTCCTGCCCTCCGAAATACAAACCCAAACACAGTCGTACATTTCCATAATGCTGCATCCATCTGCGTAATGCACAAGTGTTTATTCTCAAAGCAATGTACCGGCTAACACTGGCAGCTCATTCCACATTCCTTGCCAAACAAATGCCAAACAAATAACAGCAGAAAAAAGCATAGAATTCAATCTCTCCTGAGCAGCATTATAAAACAGCACTATTGGGTTTTGTTGGTGTTTCCCTGGTGGCATTATTTACTCAGAAAGGCCGCAGTGGAATCGGCCTGTTAATGAAATGGAATACTCTGGGGAGGCTCCAAGAGAGCTTAGGCCCACAAAGCTATATGTAATAGCCAGGGATTGGCGACCTGGCCACAAAGAAAGCCCTCGCGAGTCACAGAAATGTGAATTGCCGCTATCACACAATGGCATTGTTAACCACAAGGCTTAAAAAAGGAACTTGACTCTAATTAGAAAAGTCATGCAGCGAGGATTATCTGTGTAATGGGTATCATGATTTAAAAAAAAACTCACGCACGTAATAGTTTGCTTACATGTGCTTCAACTTATATTTTTTTTTATTAATCTCCCTTCGGTTTCCTTCACCTTAAATATAACAGCTAAAAGTGTTCATAAACAATATTGTGTTTTACATACAGGGCAACAGTAGTTGAAATTATGAAGACAAATGTCATTTCACTCCACCGATAAATACACAATCCCAGACTGCGTGGCACTTTGTGAACACATGCACACACAGAGCTGTGAAGGCGAGGTTACGCGTGCAGCTGTGCCTGCCAATGCCTGCTCGCCTGAGCCCTCCCGTGAAGCCACCTCGAGCCAAGCCCGACGCTTGTTTACAGCGGCGCCGGGCGCCCCCCGCTAACGACGCGTTTCCATCGCACAAGTTCCCCTTTATGCGCTGCACGTGCGTGGCCCCAGCATTGACAGGAGGCGACGATTGGGCAAAGCAGCCGCTTGCAGCTGTCTTTGGCGGCTCATGTCCAGGGCACCGTGCCCATCGCCCCTGTGGGGGGAGGGTTGGTGTCGAGGGAGAGAGAGGGGGGGGGGGGTAGCTGAAATTGGTGGAAAACAACCCCCCGTTGTTTTTCCACCCATGAATTTGCCCCCATCGTCTCTGACCATCACTTGCTGGGTATTCCGTTACTTTTTTTTCAGGAAGGCGTCCGAGTTGGCAGTGCGTTGCTGTTTCATGTCTTCGCTGCAACTTCAGCGTTATTTCAAGGGCGATAAACAAAGCTCACCGCTCTCTGGGGTGTCCGAGTCGTGCCGCGTGTCGTTGTCTCTGCGTGTTGAGAGAGCGTATTTGGCCAACTGCGTCCAATTGGATCGAAACGTCGGGCATCATTCAGAAACAAAATACGCCACAATCCGAAAGCACATCATAGAGCTCCACAGAGCACAACTGCGAAAACCTGCACGCATAGTAAAATAAATCACCACATTCATCAAAAGCATTACGACGGCCCTGAATCAAAGAAAGCAGCGGACAGATTGACTGGCATGTAGATGGAGGTCGCATTTAACATTACAAGTCGCTGCAAGTGAGTCATTCTTGTCTGTGCTCTCTCCTCTGAAGAAGGGTCAATGCCCAAGATGTCAGCGCAGTGTTTATTTTTTGCGATGAGATGCAGTGCTGTTGATGAAGGTGGTGAATTATTTAAATTGTGGTTGTACACGACTGCCAACACAGTCTCAACTTTAAGTTTAATTTAGATTCATAGGAGATTGGTTATTTTTGCATGAATCTTTTGGAATTTCTCTCCCTTGTTATTTTTTGCGAAACAGGCCAGAGATGTTTGACATCTTTGAGCAGATTTTTTGCATTCAGTGTGAAAGTGGAAACGCGCAACTGAAGTGAATGTATTTGTTACACATACGTCTTCCACTAATTAACACGCAGATGTGATTTTTTTCTGGTCATGGATAGTTATTTGTTGAATGCACTATTTATTTCTCTGGGTAGAATGGTTCGATAGCAAACAAGATTTTTGCTCTTAGCAATGCGGGGCCAACATTTCCCCCTCCCCAATTTTAAATCCATTATTTTGTCCCATGGCTGCGGCGTGCAAAATGCTACAAAGGAAGCACTCCTCGAGAACAGCAATACTTTCTGCCCACGCGCTGGTGTTTTATATTACATCTACTAACCTCCAACGCAATGGACAATGTCTCAATTGCAGCGGAGTAAAAGTCAAGGTGAATCCCTCACAGCTTTATGCTCACACCGCTGCTTGCGGATGGGCGACTAGAGAAACCCCTCTGTCGTGTATTTGGCCTTCTCTTCACACGCTGGCCAGACGTCTTGGAAGAGGTGCGAGAACCCACACTTCATCCCAACCTGCAGATTGACCGCTTGTGGTGGTTGTACCCTTTCATATTGCTCGGTGGACAGAGGCAGTGGCGGGGGAGGATTTGGGAGACCTGCACCGTTGTTTCAATCGCCGCGCCGGTTCGATCTGCCGGCGACCTCTGGATTGCGAGTCCAGTGTCCTAGGGATCGCACCAAGGCAACATCAGTGCAGAGTAGATACATGATTTAACCTGTTTTCGTAGCTCATTTGAAGACAGCCTTGAACATATTGCCAAACAGGTCAGAAAAATACAAATAAAGGCAAGTGTATTTTTGTGTATGTTCGGTAATTGTTTAGCAATTCAACCAGGAACGCATCACGGAGTGTCAAGAATCTTTTTCACGAGATTCCTGCATTGTTACGTTCGGCCAAATGCATTGATCAGTTTTCATGCCATGCAGGGGAGGGAAACACATCCAGAGCACCCAGAGAAGACACCCATACACACACGCGGGTTGTGACGCTCAAGGTCCACACAGTTAGTGTGAAGATCCATTGAAGTGCCACCACCTCGCTTCTTCACAGCACAAGCCCTATAACAACCATTCATTCACCGACCAGGCTAAAGGTAGCTTTGCTTTTTAAGTTTTACAAAAAAAGGGCTCAGTCAGGGTCATACCTTTGTGAAATTCATGATCATGTGGTCTGTTGTGTGCCCTCTTTGTAAGAGTGCACGGCTGTGCATTGTCACCAAAGACCACACACTATCACGAGGCCATCCTTTTCTCTTGTGCTTCCCGCCACAAACATTGTCAAATAATAACATAACTGACGCTGAATGTTTTATGTTGTTTCTCTCACTCTCTGTCTGCACTTGCCGTGACCTCTCCACGACCCTGAACCCTCCACCGACTTACACTCCGCACGCACTGACGCAACGTGCCCTCGACTCGCCGCCTCCCGATTCGTGCGCACGAAGCTGCCACCCCATGTCAGGGGAGTGCACATGCAGGCTGGGCTGGGCCGGCCTCTACTGCAACGAGACCTGCTCGCCTGGCTTCTACGGGGAGGCCTGCGCCCAGGTGTGCTCCTGCCAGAATGGGGCCGACTGCCAGCACGTGACAGGCCGCTGCATGTGTGCGCCCGGATACAAGGTAGACGAGCATCCATGCCTCATAGCCGTGATGTAACCTCCACCATGCCCCATACTCGTACCGTCACCTCCACCATGCCCCATACTCGTACTGTCACCTCCACCATGCCCCATACTCGTGATGTAACCTCCACCATGCCCCATACTCGTACTGTCACCTCCACCATGTGCCATAGCCATGCTGTCACCTCCACCATGTGCCATAGCCATGCTGTCACCTCCACCATGTGCCATAGCCATGCTGTCACCTCCACCATGTGCCATAGCCATGCTGTCACCTCAACCATGCCCCATACTCGTACTGTCACCTCCACCATGTGCCATAGCCATGCTGTCACCTCCACCATGTGCCATAGCCATGCTGTCACCTCCACCATGTGCCATAGCCATGCTGTCACCTCCACCATGTGCCATAGCCATGCTGTCACCTCCACCATGTGCCATAGCCATGCTGTCACCTCCACCATGTGCCATAGCCATGCTGTCACCTCCACCATGCCCCATACTCGTACCGTCACCTCCACCATGCCCCACACTCGTACTGTCACCTCCACCATGTGCCATAGCCATGCTGTCACCTCCACCATGCTCCCTGCTCCCACCTCGTGCCAATTATGTGGCCCCAAAGAGTTGAGCTGTGTTTTGCCTTGAGGTTGTTTAAAGCCCCTGACCTTGATTTTTGTTGTCAGCCTGTAACTTCCCACTGCTGGGCAAAGTCCCGTCTCATTTTCTGTCATGGCTTCCTTTCCTTAGCGCCTCGGCTCAGATTTGTTGTCATATGGAACAGCTTCAGCTCCCTCGCCTGCTTCCTCTATATGCACACCACATTCACTGTGTACCAGGTCACTGGGTGAGTCAGCTGACAATGTGATTCGCTGTCAACGCAGCCAGCATTGCCCTTACGGGGTGGCACTCCAATACCTGTTTCTGCAACCTGCCCGTCTCAGTCCCGTGACGTGTTTCTAGGTTTGCCATCTGTCCTGGTTTTCTCAGGCTTATCCTCTTTTTGAGGTAACTATCGTAGGAAATCGGTAAGTATGTCTGGGACATTAAACGTCAACGTTTTGTCGTAATACTAATACAATACCATGTTTAGTGGTTGTCTCCCTGTCACAGGTTGATTCACAAACCGTACCTCTCCATAACAAAGGCTCACCCTCTTAAGCCTCACCTTACCATATTAATAAAAAGTTGCGGCCCTTGCCCCACCACCTTCTCCAACCATTATATAAACGGAGTGGTAGCTCCTGCAATCTCTCATTTACTTGATACAGCTGTCGTGGCTGTGACGGTCCCACCTGAAGACGGAATCTTATGTTGCCTCCGAAACGTCGTGATTTTTATTTTATTTTACTTTTTAATGTTTTACCTACGTGACTTTACCGAAAAAAACCTAAGAATACAATGCACCGCTCAAGAGAAATGATTTGCATGTGGTTCCCCCCTCTCACTGGTATTGTGTGATATTCTTCTACTCTATCACACATTTCACAACCTGCCCATGTGTATTTACCACGCCGGGACATTGAATCGGCGACCTCTGGATTATGTTTAGTTTGCTGTCTTTCCCCTGCATCTCCTGATTAGCCACGGTTGGTTACGTACAGTGCGAAAAAAAAAGGTTCAACATACATCATACCATGTATCCCGTTTCTCTTTTTTTACATTTCTTACAAAATTAAATCACAACTTGAAAACTCAATAAACAGCAATGCCATGCTTCTCATGTTCACAAACACAATCCATTCAAATGTTGTACATGTACAATTTGCGTGATAAAAAAAAGCACACTACAATTAAAATTCTCTGCTAGTGCAAAAACCCAGAATGCTAATCTACTTTGGTTAAAGCATATGTAATACATAATGCATTTAAGCAGGGTGTTAATGCGGCATTAATTAACTTTCCATTGCATAAATTTTTACCACCGGCACTTCCATGAATAAAACAGCAACTGGATCGCTGCGAAAGTGCAATGTCTGTTACTGTGTCACTGATCTGGAACTAAGAATAAGGATTTGGCAGCTTTGATTATGTTCAATTAAACGTACTCCAAAGATTTCCACAGCATTACTTATTAAAATGCATACTCTACGTGCACATAACCCATTCAGTTCATTGCTCGATAGTGCATTCGTGTATGGCAGTGTCTCGCAACCTTTTTGATCTGGCTGACCCCCAAACAAGACCGCTGGACTTCCCCCCCCCCCCACTTCCCCCCCCCCTCCCAGAGTTATGTGAAACACTTGGGAAGAGATGAAGGCCACCCCGTTCAATGTTGCTGTACTGGCGGGAGAGCTCTACTTGACAAACACAACTAGAGAGTATGCATCTAGGCTTTGAATGTTGTTGCCTGCAGACGGTTTCCAGGAATTGAATGAAAGGATAGGGTAACAAAAAAAATAAACTTCGTAGTTAAGTATAGAACATTACAATACAATGTTGTTGATAAAAAAAAAAACGTGAAAAGACCGATGTGGAGGATGGGACACATGCATAGAATAGTGGAGGGCAGGATTCTGAATTCGACATTGGAGCGCATTCAAAGGTTGGCAAGCAAGGGGAGACCTAGAGCCACATGATGGGATGCTGTAAGAGAGGACCCTGATGGTCAGGTATCACCTTTACAACAACTCCAGCACCTAGTGAAATTATAGAGGCCCTAGCGAGTTGCGGTGACATTCTAGGCATTGGCCATGATGACCTCTTGAACTTGCCCTTAAATCGACCTGAAATCACCGATGTATTGCAATGCGCATACTCAATTTATAAAACTTTGCAGGGGCCTTTTCATAAAATTTTAATTTGCTCTTTTGTAACGTGTTCAAGTAGCTGACCCATAATTATTTGCGTAACGTTTTCCAGTCCGCACACTCACGTGATTAGGTTTCCACTGCGTGGACAACTGGAAGACTTTGAATGCTTAATTATTGCCATGTTTTGCTTCATCCTTCTCATTACACGGTTGTGTTTGCATGATGGTAAAATGTAGGGGCGAGGAAACTTGGCCATGTGCAACTGCACTTCAATCCAAGCTGTCGCACGGTTATTTTGATTCTGAAGTTGAACCGCAAACAAACAGCGCTGGTATTTAACCTTGGCAGCTAAATGCAAAATAAAATCCATTAAGCCTTGTGTGTATATGCTCCACGCCTGTTTTCTTTCTTCCCACCTCCTCCCACCCACCCTCCCCACACTGATTTATTCACCTTGTATAGTCGGGGGGGGGGTATTTTTTTTATATATAAGCTTTTGAAATGCACCTCGCTTGTGAAGCCCTAATAAGTATGCTGCATCTGTGCGTCAGCATTAGCAAGCCACACTTTTGGCAGCAGAGACGGGCGACTCGGGGTGTGAATGTGCGAGACGGAGGGGGGGGGTGTAAGGGGGTGGGGGGCCCACAAGCATAAGCTAAGCCAAGCTTGTCTCATTTGGCTAAGTTCGGGCATATTCCTCTTTCTGCTTGCAGCAAAAAAAGGAATTTGGTTCATATCTGTCAACCGCCTTAAAAGCCCCCAACCCCATTAAAATCCGCAGGCTTCCAAGGCATCCTCGCTGGGCTGTTGTGAACTAATGGGCGCTAAGGAGTTGACGTTATTCACTTTAAACTTTGTATACACAACGCTGCTTGTTATCGAATCAATATGCTTACATAAGATTCTCCCTACGCTTGCACCAAGTTGTGGGAATGTTGATTGTTTTAAAAGTGGCAAAGGAAAAAAAAGCCATCAAACGTATCCATAAAAACTGAGAACTGAGTTTAGCTCTCGATTTCTTCCGAGAATAGAGCGTGTAAACTAGACATCAACCAAAACCTCACCGTCACTTCGTGTCGAAAATTGAATTCTGTAAGAAGAATAAGAATCTTCTTTATCATCACCATCATCATCATTGTTATTCTCACCGGTACTTCTATCACGATCATCATCACCACCTCGGATGAGCACGGTTGGCGACGTACGGCGCGCAAAAAAAAATTCAACATACATCGTGATCTTCTTAATATTTAAAATACACCTAACTGTTCGGTCCCAAAGGTATTGCGTCGCGCGTGTCACCTCTCTACGCGTGACGCCGAGCGGGGAGCAGAGGGCTCTTGCGTGCATGCGTAAATCATCTCGAGGCGTGAGGATGCAGGCCACAGCAACGCTCTCGTGCCCCTAATCAGCGCGGGCAGCCGTCTGCGCCCGCAGCCACCGCGCAGCTGTGAGAGATCGTCTACCCTCCGATATTGACACGTTGTGGCGCCCGGCGCAGGCTGGCGCACGCAAATGACATTCCGTGACGTTTCAGTCATTATCGCGACTAACCTACATCTGTTGGGCCCTGTCACCCCCGGGGCTCTCGTTAATTAGTCATCGACGCGATTAGCGCCAGTCATGTCACGTTGTCGTTGCTGGGTTCCAAGGCAGGGATTTGTGGCTTGCTTGACATTGCGCGCACACCCGCCAAGGACGTTTTGTGGCCGGTGAAATTGCGTGTGTGGTGTTACATTTACAGTCTTGCACTCAGAATTTTGCTCTTGAGATGTTAATTGCAACGTACAGCGCACCTGCTTTGCATGGCGAAACGGGTTGCCCGTGATTTTTTTTGTTACCTCCGATACAGTGAAACTTTCTCTCTGCATCTGGCAACGTAATTTCACGTTGTCACGGTTCGCTTTTTTATGCGTTTGTAAACGTTGATGTACAAATTGTGGCCTGTGTTCACATACGACCCCACGCTTTGCTTAATGGTATATCGGTCAGTCTAAATGCAAAGTATGCTGTGAGCGTGGTGGAGGGAAGCAATGAACGCTCATAGCACAACAACAGCAGCAGCAGCAGCTTTACAATGCAGTTTCAAATTAAATCAAACAATCACGAGTAATAATGGAACTGCAGCGGTATGATCAGTGGAAATGCTGTTATTTATACCGTGTGGTAATAAAGTTGCCACTGGTTATGGTTTGGGGGGGAATTTTTTTTCAGCAGCCACTACAGCAGACAATGGTGGGGGGGGGGGGGGGGCGACCAGACATTGGAGAGGGGCAGGAGGAGGTGGGGGCGTTTTCCGCTGTTGGCATCAGCAACGAGTGATGGTTAACTGAAGTGACAGCCTTAACCGTGGCAATCTGCCCCGCGTTCGATAGAGTGCCCGGCGCGTCCTCGCCGGCCAGTGATTGAAACGTTACGGTCCGGGCAGCGCTGCTGTGATCTCCCTGATGGGCACAATATTATCGCCGGACAAATGTAACGCTGCGACGGGAATTACAGAAGGACGTTCAAGTGTGTGTTAATAAACAGACAGAGAGCGTGATTTTATTTTTTTAACAAACGGACGTATATTATGTGTGTAGAGTATTTACATGTTTTTCGTGCGAAAATACAACTTTGATTTATTTGTTTGCTTATTCGTTACCGGTGACCTGGGCTTGCCAAGCGTCTTACACGGTGTGTTTTGGCAAAAGAGCTCGGGGTCATTTTGATGTATTGAGTTCTGCATGCAAACTAGAGTTCATTAACGTATGAACCCAAGCCCATTAATTGTAGCATGCAAAGCTTAACATGTGTTACGCAGATCATCGTTGTCGTGTTGTACAGCTGTCAGAAACTGAATCAAAACATTTAATGAAGAAGCTCCCAACACACGGAGTGAAACGTTGAGCATCGTGCCGGACGGACAACGTGGGATACAACCCGAAAACACATCGCGGTGCATTGCTTAACTTTATTTTAGTCCTCGCCAAATCCACAACCTGCTGACATGCTGCTTGTTTAAAATACCAAACAATGGCAGGTTCAGAGAATGTTGACAGGAATCAATGAAATTGAGGGTTGGCCACACGTTTCGAACTACACATGCTCACACATTATTTCAGATGTAGGGCACTGCTGGCGGTACATGATTAGTTTCGTCACTTGACGAAACCATTCTTTTTAAAGGTTAAGCTGTCTAATTTTCATTAACCTAACCGATGAGTCAACTTGCGTTAAATTCGTAATGCATTTAAGTTTACGTGATTCTTTTTTATAATTCTGGTCATAGTTTAAGTGGAACTTGGATAACTGACGAGGACTGTTGATTTCAGTAGCTTACAAGTATCAGCATGAAAAGCCAAAGGGGGCGATGTGTCGGACATTTGGTGTCCATTTACAGAAAAACGTGAACCTAATTACAATCATCCCATTATTTCAGCCGCATCAGCTGCCGGATGCCACCACAGAGTACTAATGAACTTCTGTTGGCGACCGTAAGTTCAGAGTCTTTTTCTCGAGGTGACTTTGAGACAGGCCGGGTCTTTTTTCATGTAGTGCATGCATCGGCAACGACCTTCCAAAGTTCTCACCTAAAAAAAAAAAAAACTTTTGCAAAGGTCCCTGTTCAATGTAATCTGTTACATATTGCGGACTCGTGGCCCACATAAGGTTTGAATTGCATCCATTTATTTATTTATTTATTCCCACCTGTCTCAGACTTGTTAAAATAAATGTTCTTTGGTTGGGTATTTTTTTGTGTATATATGAATGTAATGTTTCTCGACAGTATTTGGAATTAAACAATCCCACCAGCAAGTGTTGGCTCCGAAAAAAATTCTCAGAAGGAGAAGGGCAAACGGTTGACTACGTAGCACTGTTGGCTACGTACAGTGCGAAAGAAGTTCAACATACACTCCTACATACAAACGCAAGTCCGGGCTTCCACCTCTCTCGATTTCACACATTTCGCTATCCCAAGCAGTGGTGGGGGTTGAAAAAGAAACCGCAACGTATTATTGGGAATTTTTGCTGTCAGCTGCGGCTGTCCCCGTAACAGCCATCCCCAAGTGCATAATGCCCCGTAGCGTTGGAGATAATGACTGCGCCACGGAAGCGTCGCCGCGGTTTTAAGTACGTCAAACCTGCTAAGGTGGCTCTCCTGCACGTCTGCGGCTCGCCGACACTCATTATGCCGCGGAAAATCCCTCGAGTGTTCACTTTTATTAGCTAGTGGCAATTATGCAGGTGCTGCAATATCAGTTAATTGCTCTGGGCAAGCCGGCAAAGGCTCTGCCCAGTAAAGCATTGTGTGGCGAGCGTGCGACAAATTGCAGAGACAGTAATAAGAGTTTTTTGAGCGACGTGTTTATGCCTGCAAAATAATTTGCAGTGATAATTTGCTTGAAACTTAGAAGGTAACTTCATGTGCCTCTACTGATGGGCTCTGGGCAATTATTTACCGCGATTGATTTTGTGGTTAAAATTATTACAGTACAATAATTAATGTCATACCTATATAAAACTGCTTTATATGAAGTATACAATGTCATAAATTTGATATTGAAAATGCATTACTTATATTAATTGGTTTTCCGATTGGCTTGGTTTGTTGTGCCGAAATTAGAGCAGAAAAATAAATGTTGCATCTTTATTATCTGTATTATTATCGTTTTCATCGTCATTGGCATCAACGTCATCACAACAAGCTAAATGAAGAAATTCTTATTTCATGCACTAAGCACGAGTATGCTCGAAATTAATGTTGAGAAAAGTAGTTGCGAGTGAACACGTGAGACAATGTTCGCGATGTGTCCTGCTCAAGCTGGTGTGGCAGCTACTTGATGGGACGTGTCTGCGAGGATGACTACCGATTGAGATGGAGCTGTCAGATAGGTTCAAGTGCTGGAGTGATGCGGATTTCAGTATTGCAGAACCGTGAGGGATGGTGATGGCAGGGGGAGGCCTTCATCCAGCGGTGAATACAAAATAGCTGCTGGTAATACATCATCACCATCATCAAAGGAAAAATGCAGTACATTAATATATGCCTGCAACTACTTTGAGAAAGAGATTAAGAGGAACACGTGAATTTGGGAACATTCGCAGGTTAATGGCATAATTCAAACGGTTAAGAAAAGTAAGTGTGCTTGGGTAGGTCATGTTTCTGCAAGGGATGATGGACCATGGTTAAGAATAATGACAAAGTGTAAGCCAAGGAATGAAATACGCTTGAGAAGACGTCCGCTGAGAAGGTGGCGGTGATGAAATCGGCTCGTTTGCTGGCGGTTTGTCGATTATTGCATTGCAGAATCATGAGAGATAACAGGAGCGTAGGGAGACCTTCATTCGGATTGACCAAGACTGATGATGATGATGAATATATTCCCTTATGTTTGTTTGTGTACCAGGGTGTGGATTGCTCCCAGCCTTGTGACTCCGGGTCCTATGGAGCAAATTGCTCATCCTCCTGCACCTGCAGGAACAAAGGTGTCTGCTCACCCATGGATGGGTCGTGCATCTGCGGCAGTGGTGAGTGAACATGACGGACATCGCTTAAGCTACCTTCTATCACGAAATTGTAATGAAGAAATTCTGAAGCTGTGAAAGTGACCAATGGCTGTTTCGTGAGCGAAATCGAAATAAAACGAAATGCCCTTTGTTCATCTCGGGAAACGTCAAAGAGTCCTAAGGCTCGTTTCCAAGAGAGTCATACTTTTGCATGTTTGTCAAATTCAAACGTTAAGTGGGATACGGAAAGAAATTGGAATTAAGCAGAAAAACCCCCACCCGAACGAGGAGATAACAATCAAAACTCTGTACAAATAGATTCAAGAATATGGTCATTGCTCTACTACTGCCATCACTTGACCACCTAACAGCCCAGGCACACACCTCCAGATATTCCCAGACAATTTCTCAAGTACCAAGAAGGCCCCCAACTTAAGTTTCTTCCATTATTTACAGAGATTTGTTGCACGATCTAATGTGCTGTGGTAATTAGCTATTTTAATACGTACAGTCAAATGTTAAGATGCCACCATACAAATTTCAGCCCTATACTTGCTTATTCACGCCATTGCTGGTGAAGGGACTCAACAAGCGAGGAATCTGGAGAGCCCATTCAGATGGTAATTGTGGCCTATTCTCTGCTGCTGACCAGGCATCTTGGTCAAGACAGGGGTTACCCACGCTTTATACAATCCTGCGTGACCAGCCGATCGACTTACTTGGATGACTTCATTTATGCTGCTAGATTGGACAAGCAGCAAGGGGAACTGAGAAACTTGGCCCATTGTTTTCAGCTGCCGTGCTGGGAGGTGAAACTGAACCAGCTACCTCTGGACTGGGATATAAGTCCAGAGGTGGCCCTCGTTTGGAATATACTTGCGGAAAAAACCCGAAATAAATAGATTTAAACTTTTTATTTTATTAGATAAGAAGCGACCTGGCCACACATGATAGCTCAACGAAGTGGATTATCAGTCACTTGGAAATGTATATGAACCAAATACTCTAAACGCGTGTCGATTCTAAATGTGGAGGGGAACACCGGAGAACCTGTAGAAGAATCCACGGGACCACGGGGGAGAGAGAGACACCACAAACTCCAAACATACAGCAGGCGTTAGGGTCGGGATCCAACCCACGACCTCCTGCATACCAGGCGAGCTCGTTAACATTTCGGCACCGTGACGATGCTGCGCAGTGCAGGGTGGCAGGGCGTGGACTGCTCCATCCCGTGCTCCAGCGGGACCTGGGGCCTTGCCTGCAACGCGTCGTGCTCCTGTGCCAACGGCGCGTCGTGCAGCCCACTCACCGGGGAGTGCACCTGCGGTGCGGGCTGGCGTGGCGAACACTGCGACGTGCCGTGCCCTGTGAGCGTGCTTGCCCTCTCCCCCTGCCGAACCGCGCACGCACATGAGTTCGGCGGTCTTGAAGATGAGATGAATGCAACAATGCCCACGTTTTTTTATGCGTTCCAACTCAGGCTGAAAGGGTTAATATATCCGCTTTCCGTCCATCTGTTCGTCCGTATGTCTTGTCTGTCCATCGGTCTGTCCGTGGGATTATGATGCCTCTCGTAATTATGGTCAAGTATCAACTACAACTTTCCTATAATGTTGTGTTGCTATGAAGGACTTACCCGAGAGAAAACCGGTAAAAAATGTAAATAAAAGCTCTGGCCAAAACTTGGAGACAAAGCATGCATAAAGGACGATTGGCGAATTTGCGAATTTCCCTGACCACTCCTCATGCCGATAACTACGAAACTAAAATATTTTCTACGACAGACAGAAAGCAGTACATATTTTTATACATGTGCATGCTTTATTATCTTGCTTGTTTATCTTCACTCGTGCTTTTTTCATTGGAACCATTGATGATATTTTGATATGCTGGTGGTTTTAATGATAGCTGTGGGAATCTGCTGAGAACTGGTGTGCATTATTATTGCAGACGGTTGTCATGTGGTCCATTTTAATTGGTTATTGTTAAATTTTACCAATAGCATGAAATTAATTTACTTATAATCCTGTACATATATAGTAGCATTCAGGCATCAAATTGTTATTGTGACCCATCAAACTTAATTACAAGAATCACACATGCCATTCAAGAACTGTACATTTTTAAGTGCATCAGGGTTAAACGTACGTAGATGTAGGCCATCATTTAACATTCTAAACTTCCCGAAAGTACATGCCTAATACATGAAATGGCATTTTCAACACAGCTTGTAGTGATATTTTATGCAGAACGCCAGCGTTTCGTGTTCTCTCTGACCGCCTGTAGCCGACCAGTGCTGCGATGGTGAACACCGAGGGGTAAAGGTGCAGTTGCGGCTCCCGAAATCGCTCGCTCACGCTCACTGCTGGCGGAAGGGAGCTAGGGAGAGAGCCTCTCTGGAGAGGGTATTCCGTGCGTACTCATCTGCGCTGGCGCACGCTCCTTGCGCGGGCCACACTGAAGGAGATTCTTTTTTTTGCTCGATGTTTTCTTCCTTCTCGAGGACGGGACGTTCGGACTCGGCTGTCAGGAGCGCTGTGACTGCAGCCACGCAGATGGCTGCGACGCGGAGAGCGGCACCTGCCGCTGCCTGGCCGGCTGGACAGGTGCGTGGCCCGGCAGACATCGGCACAGACCAAACGCCCCTCCCTGGTTCCCCCGCGGGTATCGTGTGGCTCAGCTGTTCTTATTGTATTCGTTCGATTTGTAAGACGACTCCCCTCCACGAAAGTAAGACGCACCCGGAAAGTAAGACGCACAGAAAAACTTGTTTCCGGGGTCGAAACAATTATATATGTCTGGTCACACATCGAACAAAAAACGAAGGCAAAGATCCCCCATATAGCCTTGACAACGTTTGGGGCAAGTGCTGTTAGCAAACGCCTATGAAAGCTGGCATGCCACACGAGGCGGTGGGTGGCCAGCACCACGCGCAGCCACCTTCGTCTATCCAGTGGAGATGTTTACACACTTCAGCAGTTACTAATTTGAGGCTGAGTCAACGTGGGGGAGGCCTAGGACCAGTGGTGTTGGCCGTGAGTGGGAATGGAACTCAAGTTGCCAGATTCATCGCGATGTGCACACACCCACCCACATCCACCCGTGCACACCAGGTAATAAGATGCACCTCCGAATTTTTTTTTGAAATACCATAAAGTAGGGAAAAAGTGTCCTTATATTTTGGGGAATCCCCTAAATCTTTTGCAGTGCTGTGATGTATTGAAATATTGTATCGATGTGCTTCGTTGAACGGATTAATCGGTTAAAATGTAATTAATTGTAATCGTAATTGCCGAGTACGGGGCCCAAAGTCCCAAAATGCCAGGTGGTCAGCAACAAACTACACTGTTTGAAGGTGTAATAGCTACAAAGTTAATACGTATTTTTATTTGGACAATGTTATAGATACTTGGGAAAGGAGACGATGGGACGGAATTCCAAAGTTGAGTAGTGCGATAAAGAATATTATAGAGCTGTGTTGTGACCTGCAGTGTGGTGGTTGAGTAGGTGAGTGAGTGGGGGGAATGAGTGAGTTGGTGAGGTAATGATTGAATTGGTGTGAGAGTGAGTGGGGGGAATGAGTGAGTTGGTGGGTTAATGATTGAATTGGTGTGAGAGTGAGTGGGGGGAATGAGTGAGTTGGTGAGTTAATGTTTGAATTGGTGTGAGAGTGAGTGGGGGAATGAGTGAGTTGGTGAGTTAATGATGGAATTGGTGTGAGAGTGAGTGGGGGGAATGAGTGAGTTGGTGAGTTAATGATGGAATTGGTGTGAGAGTGAGTGGGGGGAATGAGTGAGTTGGTGAGTTAATGATGGAATTGGTGTGAGAGTGAGTGGGGGGAATGAGTGAGTTGGTGAGTTAATGATGGAATTGGTGTGAGAGTGAGTGGGGGGAATGAGTGAGTTGGTGAGTTAATGATGGAATTGGTGTGAGAGTGAGTGGGGGGAATGAGTGAGTTGGTGAGTTAATGATGGAATTGGTGTGTGAGTGAGTGGGGGGAATGAGTGAGTTGGTGGGTTAATGATTGAATTGGTGTGTGAGTGAGTGGGGGGAATGAGTGAGTTGGTGAGTTAATGATGGAATTGGTGTGAGAGTGAGTGGGGGGAATGAGTGAGTTGGTGAGTTAATGATGGAATTGGTGTGTGAGTGAGTGGGGGGAATGAGTGAGTTGGTGAGTTAATGATGGAATTGGTGTGAGAGTGAGTGGGGGGAATGAGTAAGTTGGTGAGTTAATGATTGAATTGGTGTGAGAGTGAGTGGGGGGAATGAGTGAGTTGGTGAGTTAGTGATGGAATTGGTGTGAGAGTGAGTGGGGGGAATGAGTGAGTTGGTGAGTTAATAATGGAATTGGTGTGTGAGTGAGTGTGTCAATGACTGAATGGGTGAGTGCGCAGATGGGAGAGTGATTAAGTGTGGTGAGTGTGTTGTTGTGAATGATCTGCAGTGTGGTGGTTAACACGGTATGGATGAGTTAATTGAGTCCTCAACATGGGCGGAGGAACAAAGAAATAAAGTTCATGTTGAAAAATATAATTGGCCAGAACACTATTGAAGTGCTGTGGTGAATTTAAATATTGACGAATTAAATTGAATTGGTTTTGTAGGAACTAAAACAATAATAGCCTAAACAATGAGTCAGTTTTAATTAGTAAATGAATTGGTCAAAAGTCTTTCCCCTCTTCAAACAACAGTGGGATAGAGCGCATGCCCATGTGTGACCCAGAGCCAACAGCTGACTATCAATGCAGTATCACTGATTTAATAGACCACGGAGAGATCATAAATAAGAGTATGTAAGTAAACATTCATAGTAATTGGACTGAAATTATGAAGTGTTTACCAAAAAAGAATTATGGCATTCCCATATTAATATGCAAATATTAGTTGAGATATTTTGACATTTCAATCACATCGATTTCGTTTATTTAATGACATATTTTTGTGATAATAGGGAATAGTATAAATTAGTGACATTCGACGTGCTGGAGGGTGCCATCCATTTAGTAGGTACGCAAAAATCTATCAAAACTTGATTCCTCCTCTCCTCCTTGTACGCACGCAAACTTTTTACCCCCCCCCCCCCCCACCTGCTTGACGTACCCCCCCCCCGCCCCGAATCCTATAGAACGGCCGATATTTAATCCACGCAGAAACGATCAAGGATTCATAATATTCACGTGTTTAAGCAAACAGATAGTCCACCGCCGGACTATCTAACCCATACGCAAGCGTACGCATTTGGGTTAAACCCCCCTCCCCCCTCCATGCGTAGTACTAAATGGTTAGCCCCTAGTAGCTTACGTGGTGAATTAAAATAAGAATTTAAAAGATAACAGTAACTGATAATTGGTTTTTTACCCTTCTATCTGGCAACAAAACTGACACCTTTTTTTTGCACTGTCCTTGAAGTTGATTGGTCCACACCCAAGACAGCTTTCCTTAGAGCCTAGTCTCACATGTGTTGGAGCACATTATCAGAGTTATGTTTTTTGTTTGCATTATGACTGCAGGTATTGTGGTCTATGAAAAACATGACTCCTTGTAAAAAAAAAGGTGTCAGTTGTGTTGCCAGATAGAAGGGTAAAAAAACAATTATCATATTTTTTTACTGGCAAATGAGGTTCCAATGGTGTATAACGGTAACTGTTTTACCGCGGTCCCTTTAAAGTGGAGCTGCCAACAAGCCATTGTTGGCAGCCATCTTTTCAATTTCCTTGCCCATCAACTGCACCAGCGCAGTTTGTGTGTGCTCACAACACCAGCAGTTGGGCTTAATACATCTGTCACTGGATTTTATCATCATAATCCACCATCTAGCAGCGTGCTCAATGCGATTGTTTTTTTCTTTCTCTCTGGCAAAGTACAACGCCATATGGGCTGGCCACACCACACATTATAATCCCCGTCACTTGTCCTCCTGATACAACTGTAGTGTTGTAAAGGACGGACTTCTAAACTTCTTTATGGCACACACTGTTTATTATCTTAATACACAGTCCCTATCACACAAAGGGGTATATGGTCCCCTCACCCGTTACCCTGAGGAGGTACAGCCTCCGGGCCTTGCAGTACTATCTAATCTCCCTGCTCTCCCAGCGTCCTCTGGCTGGACCTAGGGGATCTCTCCCCGACCACTGGTTACACTGAGTCCTGGCCCTGATAAGGGCTGGAGGGCTTGGTCCAGGGTCCTAGATGTCTTCGGCCGACTTGGGTCTTCGTGTAGCAGAACTGGCCAAGAGCTCTCAGCGCTCTGGCTTTTATACCTGTTCGTGGCCGGGTTGTCCAATCCCCGGCCACCTTGTGGAACCCTCCGATTGGTCCTTCCCAATCTGGCGTTTGGATCCTAGCCTCACCCCATTTGACTCTGACCGTTTGATTGAGCGGGAAAACCTTGTTTACGATCCGCTCTCTCACAGTTTGCGAACAGCGAGTAGTTATCACCACTACACAACTTTGTGGAACTAAAGGCGTGAGCAGAGAGTTCCCCGGTCAGAGTCCCTGTACGTCTCTTGCTCACCTCGCCTTACGTCGAACACAATGCTGTGCCCGTGTGGCCCCAAGTTGTTTTTGCCCAAATGTCTCTTTCTTTGACGCTTAGCGAAACAAAAACACACACTGCATGATTATTTATTAATTACTCCTTTTATTTAGAGTTCACGCCACGCACATTTGCCACGTTTTAGCTAATTCGACGCTTAATTGATATACCTTTTGTTGTTGTTGAGCAAGTGAAAGAGATGTTTTATTCAGGAGCACTCATGTTGCTCGTTAATGAGCTATTTAATTAGCCGGTAAGTTAGATAAATTAATAATGTAATGTCCACGCATAATGAGATACTTTATTGTAATAATATTATCGTTGCTGTAGTGGTGGCTGCAGTCATATCCTGCCCTCCTGTGGACAAACAGGATAATGTATTACAATGTGCATAACGGCACAAAACTCATGACACATGCATGTCCAGTATAGTATAAAATGAGTACCACTTTGTGGAGGTCAACAGTGGTTGTCCTATGGATAGACTTGCCCCTGCCATAGGAACATGGAATGTTTTACCACTGGCTCAGGGCTGTGAAAAGTGGATGAGCACCACCTCAATTTCTTGTTAATTTGATCAAGAAAATATCTGCGATCTGTTGAATGCTTAATTTTATGATATACTAGTGATGAGTTTTAGGATTAATAAATGATTATAAAAAAATGAAGTTTTAGGTTTTCAAAAATAAATGCCAGATATTTGTTCGTCTTTTTCGAACTATTTACTCTAATAACATTTAACATATCTTCACGCATCACCCGATGGCACGTGACGCCATGTGCGTCAAACAAAATCCATTGTTGTACTTTACTTTGCCCCAATGTCTATACTCCGCACCTTCACCAACCCCCCTATTAACCAATGTAGTGAATAGTGAAATAACCCCCATGACCAGAATAGTGTGGGGAGGCATCGCCAACCAGCTGTGCGTTGACAAGAGAGCTGTACGCATACTTAGTATCCTGAAGGCTAATTATAAAGATAGGTGAAGTTATGTTTTTTCATAGCTTTTAGTTACCAAAGAAGCCTCACTGAGCCTCCATACTCTTATTCAAGAGGGTCCTGTTAATCTTCATGGTAGGGGGCAATGTTGCTGTATAATTTCCCGGTTGAGTAATTTATTGGTAATGATTTTTTTTGGTAAGTTTGGACCATGACACCAGCATACGTGACCTCTTTTTTAATGGGATCTTAAATGTCCACTGTGAATACACCCGCCTATGATATTGGGGTAGTGACGGGACATAGAGCGGTGGCATGTTTGCCACTTGTCTCAGAAGTTCACTGTTCAATCTCAAGCGGGCCACCCTGGTAAATACTGTGAGTGCTTCACAGCGGACGTTAGAGATCCCGTGATGTCATTCGCGCGGTTAGGCCATTGTGTGCTGGCATCACCTTTCAAATTTGCCAATTTTCTTTTTAAGTACCCGCAAATTTTTCAAATGTAACATGGTTAACTATTATCGCCCCGACTGAAAAAAACGTGGCAGGTTCCTACTGCCGAAAGAGTCTGCGTGACTTAGAGAAGCTTTCCTGGGTAAACAAATGTGCTCGTATATCCAGGCCGGCTGCGGTGCTCGAGCTGTGATTCTCTGCAACAAATTTCAACGTCATTTTGCCAAACCAGGTGAAAACTCAAGACACCGGGATAGTGTCATTTGCAAGAGTGGCCTGGGTCACCAAACTGCCAAGCGACAAACGGTGCTACCGCTGTTAGCTTGCCCGTGACGTGACCCCACAGTCCAGCGCGATAACTATTTAATTCTAACAAAATATTTCTCTTTTACCAGGTAAAGCCCACTGAGCTATTTTTCCAAAGTGACCTGGCTATCACAAATGGTAGCTCAACGAAGTGGCTTATCACGTGGCAATTTCTCGCAGCCAAATACTCTAAACGCACGTTTCTAAATGTGGAGGGGAAAACCGGAGCACCCGGGGAAAAATCCACGCGACCATGGGATAGAGACATCCAAACTCCAAATATACAAACAGGCATCAGGTTCGGGATCAAACCCACGACCTCCTGCGTACCCAGCGAGGGAGTCAACATCTCGCCACAAGCGCCACACGTACGTTGACACTGCCACGCATAAGCGTACACCACAGGCCCCGCGACCGACCCTCTCGCGTGGTCCCCGTGCAGGCCTGCACTGCGACAACGTCTGCCCGGAGGGGCGCTGGGGGCCAAACTGCTCGCTGTCATGCAACTGCAACAACGGCGCTTCCTGCTCTCCTGATGACGGCACGTGCGAGTGCGCGTTTGGCTACCGGGGAACCACATGCCAGAGAAGTAAGCTCGTCTCTCTCTCTCTCTCACTCATTCTCGTCAGATGCTGATCTGTTGGCTCCGAACAACATTCATTACTCCTGAGATGCGACGAATTTTGTCCAGTTTTGCAGTCTCGTTGCGATGTGTAATGCCAATTAAGTAAATTTGCAAGTATTTCTTTAGCCTTGGGGTGTTTGGCCAATATCCACTTCCATGATATGCTTTTTAGCACATCATTAAAATCACACTCCAGATTGTTTCCGATTGCTTACTAATGTTATTTACTCGGCAGTAATGACATATTTTTCAACAAAAGTTTCCACTCTTTCATTGTGACGTGAAGTTTAAAGGTGGGGTGAGTGCATTTTCCCTTTCATTCTAAGAAGAAGAACAGTTTAAACAGCCAGAGTGAAATTGGAGATCACTTTTAAGTCAACGTTTTTTTTCCCACCCGGGCACGGTTCTTGCACACTGCACAAGTATCTTAAATCTCGATTTAAAGCTTTCGTGACTGCAGGGATTCATCTTCTTGGTTCTTTCGGTAAAGTCACGTAGAAGGGAAATAATAAAATAAGAAAAATAAAACGATATTTTATTATTTAATTATTTCCCTTCTACGTGACTTTACCGAAAGAACCAAGAAGATGAATCCCTGCAGTCACGAAAGCTTTAAATCGACATTTAGATGGGGGGCTCTCAAGAGCTTTGCCTCGTGGTGCAGGCCTTTCCACAGCCAGTTGGCACGAGGAGGCAAGTCGCAGTGCCGACCCTTGACCTTTTAACATTATTTTCCAGTCTGCTCGCCAGGGTTTTACGGAGCTCGCTGTAGCCAGGCTTGCCCACAGTGCGTGCACAGCAACGGGCCCTGCCACCACATCTCGGGCCAGTGCGACTGCCTGCCGGGGTTCCACGGCTCGCTCTGCAACCAGGGTAAGTCGTAAGCGTCGCCGGGGATTGTGGGGATCACGTGGCCGAGTTCAAGCCCAAGAATATTCATTGACGCTGGGAAAATGCGAGTCAAATGAATATCGTGTTTTAATTGGTTTTATTTGCCACAAAAGAACTCTTGTTTAGAATACGAATGATGTACTTTTAAGTTTTCACCAATGTGCTGCAGAAATGTGATTATTTTTTTACAATGGCCTTAAATGTATTTAAAATTGCCTGATGTTTCTTATTTTCTACTCAACAATGTAATGCATAATGAGCACGTTCCTTCAGTGATTCAATATGTGTATGTCTATTTATGTTGAATTTCTATCGCACCGTACGTAGCCAACCGTGCTAATCGGAGGTGTGTAGCAAGCAGTTCAATGGAAGCCTTCGTCTTTCCTCCCCCCCCCCCCCCCCCCCGATGTCATGCCAATTATACTGTTGGCACAATGTTTTAAACATTAGACAGATGTACGGTGACCACTGTCCTGATATATAATACACACGTATACACATTTGTGGGCTTGCAAACCAACTGCAGTGTGTCCAAGCAAGCGCTACGGGAAGAACTGTTTTGGGACCTGTTCGTGCACCAACAACGGCACGTGCAACCCCATCGACGGCTCGTGCCAGTGCTACCCGGGCTGGATTGGCAGCGACTGCTCGCAGTGTAAGTGTCTGCCTGCGGATAGCGACCAAGACCAGGGGTTGCTGTGTGCGTGCACAAACACGGAGGAAAGGCCCCTTGTGAGCATAGCTTCTCTCGCCCTCTTTGTAGCCCTTCCCAATGTTCCCTTCGTGTCGTCTCTCATAATCTCGCTCAGTTTCAAGGCAACGTGTTCCCGCTCGTCGACCACAGCTTTCGCGGTGCTGTCCGTCGCTGGATGTGTGGCATTGTGGGCCTTTTTGCCTATGCTTAGCAAGTGTGTGCAAACAATACAAATATATAAATAATAACCACGAGTTTGTCCTTGGAAGTATTACTTAGGGGCATGGAAGCTGAAAGGTGGTGGTCAGGGTAAAACTCGAGTGCATATTTGCGAAAAGCCTTTTCAGGTTTCCTATGCATTTTAAAATCTAGATTGAAAACTGATTTATTTCGCACCGCTTTTCGTGTTTAGTTGGTTTTCCTTCCCTCGCACCTCCGATTAGCACGGTTAGCGACGTACGGTGCGAAAGAAGTTCTACACACATACACGCACCCCAAAATGCGCGCGCACACGCACGTTCACAAAGATCCCCTGTGTAGCCGACACAGACTGTCGGGGCAAGTGTTGTAAGCGAGCACCCAAGGTGGGCTGGCATGGTGCACGAGGGGGTGGTGTTGTCAGCACCGAGCCAAGCCTCCTTTATCTCCCCATTGCTGATATTTACACACTGCAGCAGGTGCTTATTTAAGGCTGAGTCGACCTAGGGGAAAGCTCAGCCATCCGCTAAGTCACCGCTCCTCACGTGCAGTGCATGACTGAGGTGATGCAAGCTCTGTTTCACTCTCTCTTCTCCTCGACTTGGAGAGAATAACGGATACATTCACCTATTGCATGAACAGTGCAAGAACTTTCGATTTAAAGCTTTCGTGATTGCAGGGATTCATCTTCTTGGTTCTTTCGGTAAAGTCACGTAGAAGGGAAATAATTAAATAATAAAATATCGTTTTATTTTTCTTATTTTATTATTTCCCTTCTACGTGACTTTACCGAAAGAACCAAGAAGACAGTGCAAGAACCTCTATCGATACCAATCGACTCTGATATGCCTATCGATGCACAGTATAACACTGCTGATACCGTTAGGGATAAGGTTTAGGGGGTTTTGCCTTATTTGCAAAAAAACACTCATAGCAGGTAAAAAATATGACTCTTGCAGCATTGCAGGAAGAGTCGTTTTGTTTGACTAAATTCCACATCACGTTTCACACCGCAGCATCAGGTATAAAGCTACCTGCACCACCAGGTAGGATGATACAACAGTCTGCCCCACGTGAAGATGCTGTAGAAAGGAAACGGATGCATTTGTGGCGTGCACCACTTCGAATGAACAGTCAGAATTAACCGCTACTTAACGATGCTGGCACACAAAAAAACAGTGCTTGGACTGGGCTGTCCTGCCATGCTTATGCAGCAATCTGGAGATAAGAGAACCATCAGTGGACACCGTAAGTTTTCCAAATGAACAGCGCCGTTGACTTCAATGGCTCACAGGACCCCGCCGAACTATCATAAATAAATTGCCCGTGATGCCACACGGCTCCGCGTTAAGCCATCCCGGCTGACGTGACAGATAGGAAACTTGACAGTTTGAACATCGAACAACTCCCGACTGACTTGCTGGTAGCCCTGCTGTGTTTTTTTTATTATTATTAGGCTTTAAGGGAGTGAGCACTGATTAAGTGTGTATATCGCCTGTAGGGTTACGCTCCAACAGAACGCCATCCCAAAGCACGCGAGTGCCTTTAAGCGCAACTGCCGTGACTCTGCTGTTTAATTAAAACAATAAACTAGCATTATCCCTCAAGGTGGAGGCGAATGATCTCACTGCAGTGCGTGTGCAGAGAAGAAAAAGTGCGAAACAAAGCTGCTTTGTGGAACTTTAAAGGCGCTCCTGTTGTCAATAAGAAATTACCTTAAACCAATCATTTGGGATTCAATCGGACTTATCAAGGATTACTACAATTAGTGTAGTTTATTGGCTCCTGCGATTTGATCTGTCACCGCGATGCTTAAGCAAGTATTGACCTCCGTCACCCCCCCCCCCCCCCCCACCGTTGCTGCGTGCTCGAGTGTCTGGAGATACGGCGCGGATTTGTGAGCGCAATTAAGGAAACTCTAAACCTCACCGATCGGAGGGATCAGCCTGAGTTAGGGGGAAATTGACATTCAAGCTCATCCGCGCGATCTATGTCACCCAGCGTTTGCCTCATTACCCCAAGTCGGACACTTAATTTCAAGCATTTTTAAAACGCACCATGCACTTTGACCATTAATATTTAAACACAAATCAGGCACTTTATGGAAGAAAATGCTGCCGTCGTCTGAAAAGCTGTGTGATGTGTTGCGGATAACGGGGGCTTAGATGGCATTGCGTTGCCTTTAATCTCTGAAGTCCCCGTAGAAATGCGCTATGCTCTGTCTACGAGCCGGGGATGGTGGTGCACGCCTGTGATCTGGTACTTTGGAAGCACGGTCGGTGGCTCACATAAGGGCGCCACAGTGGCGAGATGTTAACTACTTCGTCTGGTATACAGGTGGTCGTGGGTTCAACCCTGACTCCGACGCCTGTACACTTCGAGTTTGCATGTTTTCCCCATGTTTGTGTGTTTTTTTTTAGAGTATTTGTCTGCAATAAATTTCCACGTGATGAGACATTTCGTTGAGCTATAATTTGTGGCCAGATCGCTTCTGAAAATGAACTACTGTATATAGCTGAGTGGGCCTGACCTGGTAAAATAAAAAAAAATAGTTTCGTTTTAAATAGTTGTGACAAACCCAAAACCCACTGTGGATGGAAGGTGGCCAGGATTGATGACAGTACAGCAAGTGGGCTCATGAATTAGTTTGAGTGTCACTGCCTTGCATGTTTACTCTGGGGGCTCTAGTTTTCTCCCACATTTATGAACACTCACTAATTGTCTGGGCAATAGTTGGTGCTAGCTTACTTCCTGGTTGCCTTGCAGACATATAATACTAAACATTGCCATTATTATGTGTTGGTTTTTATGGGTAGTCCAGTTTGCCCCTAGTTGAAGAACAGTAGTTAAAATAAAGTGTCAACATGTTATTCACAGGATCTTTATGAAAACATATTGAGACTCAGCGACACTTTTATTGATAACTAAATGACATCAATTATTTCAGGCTGAGGCCACCTGCCTAGACAGGACTCGCATCAGTACCCAGCTTACTTAGACCTCGAGATGGTGCATGACCCCCAATGCTATCACTCTGTATACAGTGGCGAGTGTACAGGCGATGCAACTGCACCGGCAGCCCTGAGCCAGAGGGAATGGGGGGGGGGGCTCGGGCACTCAACTTTTCGAAGCGTGGGGAAGTCAAATAGGATGGGGGACTCATTTGATCTCTTGCACCAGGACCCATGCCAGACACCCAACCCGACTGAACGTGTGCCGAAAAATGAATCGATTTTGTGCGAGCTCCCTAATGCCCTGGCGAGAGAGCGACAGGGCGTGCGACTGGCGCACACACAAAAAAACCCGTCTTCTCTCGCGTCTGATGCTGGCAGCCTGTCCTCCGGGCCACTGGGGGCCGAACTGCATCCACACGTGCAACTGCCACAACGGGGCGGCGTGCAGCGCCTACGACGGCGAATGCAAGTGCAGCCCTGGCTGGACGGGGCTTTACTGCACCCAGCGTGAGTCGGCGTCGTCGCCTGGAGTGGCCATCGCGGCCCCGCGTTTACCCCACCTTGTCCTTCTGTCCCCCGTTCTCCTTCGTTCCATTTTGTTTCGTTTTGTCTACATCGTTCGGCCCATTTCTCGTGATCCACTCGGAATATGACCTCCCTGGCAGTTGAAACGAGAGGCGAGTTTCGAATAATCGCCCCTCGCCTCTGTCCACCCAGCAGTATAAGTGGCTACAACGCAGTTAAGTCAATCGGCAGTTGGCATGTGGTGGGGTAAAGTGTGGGCACTCGCACATTTTCCAAGACATCCGGCCAGCATAGCAGAGTCGACCAAATACCCTCTCGCGGTGCTCTCTTAAGTTCCCTCTAGTGGAGGGCCCTTTCCATCGACAGCAGTTTGAGCCAGTAATTGCAGCGTCGCACCTTTGCTATGACCTTCATCTCATTACGCAAACTAGAATATTTGACTCCGTACGCAAGAAGAAAACCCAGCAAGATGCCCAAATGAGGTTTCTCCCTTTTGATTTGTGCCGAGCCGCGTGGTCATTTGATAAGCACGACTCCATCGCTCCCGCTCTGCCTTTTTTTCCTCCACGCAGGCTGCCCGCTGAGCTTCTATGGGAAGGACTGCACCCGGCCGTGCCTGTGCCAGAACGGAGCGGACTGCGAGCACATCTCGGGCCAGTGCACGTGCCGCACGGGTTTCATGGGACGCCACTGTCAGACGAGTACGTGATGGTGCCACAGTGGGTGCCCTTGATGCACAGCTGGGGGCCGGTGGGAGGGGGGGGTTGGATGGGGCTCTCCAGTTGATGTGGGCGATCAACTCCACTTTGATTTGTGTCTCGGGTGTGGAACACACAAAGGCGATCGTTTGAATTATTGGAATGTAACTAATGAGGCTTCATCAAAGCTTCCTCCTGGAGACCTGGTCTGGATGATAGCAATAAACGGTGCAGTACCATTCTTCTTATGATTGTTACTGCTCCACATTTACCACTGTATAACATTTACCTGTAAGCACATCACCTGGAATGTGGCAGGTTTCTTCAAATTACGGGAGTAATAAGCAGGTTGGAGCCTGGTTCGGACTTGGATGGTAGACTGAGACATATCAGTTGTAAGTTCGTGCTACAATGTGACCAGCAGATGGCAGTCCAGAAAGTGGTTTGAATCCATATCTGTAGTGCTTTGAGCATTATCCCCTTGTATCTGTAGGTACTTTCGCTTCCTTTCATATGCCAAACACTCGTAAATATATTTTATCAATCCTTTCAGTTTTACAGAACGTTCCATTTCCATAAAACAACACTCATTCCAATAAAACAGTTGACTTAAAATTATGTACGAAATACTCCCTGCATTGCTGTGGCATTTTCCTCTGGGGACAAAAATACATGAAACTTATGTGGGCTTCTTACTCGAATGATTGTAAGTGCAATTATAAGGGTTTAGGACGTGCATGTATAGGACGCTTACATGTCTCAGCAATTTAAGCCTCTTACATGACATCTTATCTCACCTATTCCAATGCCCTTCTGTGGTATAGTCATGATGCAGCAATGGTGCTGTGACGATTGTGTTGCCTCCGAAACGTCGTGATTTTTATTTTATTTTTATTTTACTTGTATTAATTTTATTTTATTTTTATTTTACTTTTATTAATTTTAATTTTTTTACCTACGTGACTTTACCGAAAAAAACTAAGAATATGAATCCTTGCAGTCACGAAAGCTTCAAATCTAGAATCAAGGTGACCCCTTGTGGCAGCTGTCCCTGTGCAGCACAACGGTAACAGCACTACTGGCCTGCCAAGTGGGCTTTGGTCTTCCCGTAGGGGGACGACATCGTTTTGTGGCTTTTCCAAAGTAAGAAACGTTTTAAGTGTTATAATTGATCAAATCTGGACCATGACGCTGGCACACACGGCCCAATTCGTTTTGAATAACGTCACGGGATCTTGAACATCCATGTAAAGCAGAGGGCCCCTATTAATGTTTTTTTACGCCCCCGTTATTAACCAGAGTGGCCGCTAGTCTCACACCACGAATCTTTACAACAAATGGTGAACGCGCTACCGCTCACCCTATGTCACCGCCGCGTGATGCGAGTGTCTGCGTGTGTTTCGTGTTCCTGCAGAGTGCCTGCCCGGTACGTTCGGCTACGGCTGTCGCCAGCTGTGTGAGTGTCTCAACAACGCCACGTGCGACCACGTGACCGGCGCCTGCTACTGCCACCCGGGCTGGAAGGGCATTCGCTGTGACCAAGGTGTGTGCCCTGACGCTGGTACACCCACACACGGCCGCCCTCCTCCATCCCAACCAGAAAAATATTTTGTTTTAAACCAGCGGCAGCACTGTTGTGGGAGCTCCAGATATGCTTCCCGTGGGCAATCCTACTAAATTAAGCAACCTCAGCTTGTCAAAATGATGCCCACATGGATTGCAGTGGTTATCACACCAGACTCACGATCCAGAGGTCGCCGGTTCCATTTGATCCACCGGTGAGGCAGTTGAAACAATGTCGCAAGTTATTTCAAATTCTCCTCTGCATCTGTCCACCCAGCAATATAAATGGATACACTCCTGGTACTTGATTAGCTCTGTAGTGTCCTCTAGTGGAGGCACAGCTATCATTAGACATTTTTTGGCCCGGGATAAGGTGGCATCCTCATGGTTATGGCCACACCATCCCCTCGTGTACCGTGCCGGCCTTTATGCTAACAGCACCTGCCCCAACAGCCTGTGTAGGCTATGTGGGGAAATCTTTGTCCTTGTATGTTGTATCAAGAAGTGCCACGTTTTTCCGCAACAATTTTCTTCTCACTAACTTGGGTTCTGTGGTTCATAGATTTGGGCTATCAGAACTTTGTATGCTGGCCACGATTGTGCTCATACAACGAAGATCCAACAGGGGGAAGAACTCCCTCATAAATGCTTTAGGCTGCATACTTTTCGCTTGCCAGAGGATACTACTGTGCAATGAATATGCACATATGAGACAGATACCATTAAGCATAATCCATCGATTTTAATGACGGTGGATTTAATTTGCATCCATTATTTCAGTTTCTGTTGTGAACAAAGCACTGGGGGGCGGGGTGTTTTAAAGATTTAAAAAAATCACATGTGTATTTCGTGTATTTCCATATTTTGAATGGAAATGACAAAACATAATTAGATTTATAAATCAAGCATTTGTCTGTATTCTGCAGATTACTGATTCTGCATTACCATATACTGTGCATGTTAAATCGAAACAGTGAATATGCACGTGGATTTAGCGAAAACGGTCTCCTGAGTGCATATTTCTCATTTCACACGTCTCTATATTATCAGTGGCTCTTCACGCATCCACCTACATTCACACCCTTTGCCTAGCAAGTTCACCTCACTGCGTGTATCTATTTTTGTCCACGTTCCTTTGATCTCACTACCGTTCATTGCTGTCTTTTGGCTACGTTGAATGCGTGGGCGCCAAAGGTACCGATTTGTTTTGAGACCCCAATGGGCTAGCACTCCTCACAAGTACCACCGTCGCAGGATTACTGCGTGTTTATGCCAATGACACAAGCGACCGAGTTAATCTGAAAACCTTCCCACGATTTGAAATTTACTTTGTAAGTGGGCACCTCGGTGGGCCGAGATGTCCACGTGGAATACATTAAGTCATTTATAATGGTAAGGAAACAACAACTTGGGCTACCGGCAGATCAGTGCTATAGGCAAATAAGCTAATGCCTTGCAAAATTAAATATTTTTGTGTTTAGTTCGTTGTCCTTCCCCCGCATATACGATTAGCACAGTTGGCTATGTACAGTGCGAAATAAGTTCAACATATTTCCATAATCAGTCCGAGAGAGCAATGAACACATGTTCTGGACCATTTATCCTGAACTCGACTTCGATGAAGAGCCACCGATAACGACGTCAGTGGTGATTGATATCTGAAGCAGTCCTCCCACGTGTATAAAAATTCATGATTTAGGCTGGGGGAAAAAAAAAGTTATATATGTAAGGACAGCAGATCTTGGGCAATTGTTGTACTGACAAACTACCTTCCAGCTTGTCTGCAGTTCCCCGCCGATTGTGAGATGCAATGTACATGAGCGACCACGCTATGTGAAACTAAAACATTTTGTCAAATCTATCCTGATATGTGCGTGACGTAATTCCAAACAGAGGGGTGCTAACCGCTGGGCCTACCGCGAGTGGCTATGCTTCAGGCTGTTTAAACCCCGCGGCTACGCCGCTGGCAATTGACCGCGTGGGTTCACCGAGGCCGTCTCCGTGTGTTTCCCGACAGCCGGGCTCATCATCATGGAGAGCTCGAACTCCCTGAGCAAGGCGACGAGTGCGGCCGTGCCTACGGAGGGCCACTACGTGGTGGTGGTCGTGGGCATCGTGCTGCTCATCGTGCTGGTGCTGGTCCTCATCGTCGTCTTCCTCTACCGCCAGCGGCAGCGCAAGGACAAGGGGCACGACGTGCCGGCCGTGTCCTACACGCCCGCGCTGCGCGTCGTCAACGGAGAGCCCCCCACGCTCGCAGGTGTGGCAGCGAGCCGAGGAAATCTCAGAGCAATCGAAACTGTAGATACAACTACGTATTTTTCTTCTTCTTGGTTCTTTCGGTAAAGTCACGTAGAAGGGAAATAATAAAATAATAATAATAAAACATAATAAAATCATTCTCACGACGTTTCGGCCACAACGCAAGCAGCCGTCGTCAGGTGAAGAACAGGTCTGTCGGAAAGACAGCGTCTGAATGAATTTCCGACAGACCTGTTCTTCACCTGAGGACGGCTGCTTGCGTTGTGGCCGAGACGTCGTGAGAATTATTTTATTATGTTTTATTTTTATTATTTTATTATTTCCCTTCTACGTGACTTTACCGAAAGAACCAAGAAGATGAATCCCTGCAGTCACGAAAGCTTTAAATCGAAACTACATATTTTTTTCATTTTACCAGGTTGGAGCAGTGGTGCAGTGGTTAGCACACTGGACGATGAACCCATCAACCTGAGTTTGAGTCGTGGTGATGTGGAGTGATATCTAAACTGAATTATTAAACTTTAAACTATTCTTATTTTACCAGGTAAGGCCCACTGAGCTATAGAGCTATTTTTCAGATGCGACATGGCTATCACAAATGATAGCTCAACGAAGTGGCATATCGTGTGGAAATTTATAGCACCAAATACTCGTGATGTGGATTCAAAATGTGGAAGGGAAAATCCGGAGGACTCGGATAAATATCCACGCGACCAGGGGAAGAGAGAGAGCCATGCAAACTCCAAATACACAGGCGTCAGGGTCGGGATCGAACCGACAACCTCCTGTATACCAGGCGAGGTAATTAATAGTTTGCCACCGCGGCATCCCCAATCGACGGGCCTTCACCGAGCATTTACCGAGCCGCACCAATCATCGCGGTGAAGTACGGTCAAACAACCTCCAACAACAACCTGCACCGGTGTGGGGAGGCCCTCATCCAGCAGCAGTGGATGGACAATAAGGTGCTGCTGGTAGTTGTCACCGGCAATAACGATTTCCATTGTAAAATATCTGAGAGGTATTCATTCAACTGGAAATAGTTGACCTTTAATACTTTAACTTTGCTCGATTCAAGGAACCGAGGGACTATCCTGTTACACCTCCAATCGTGCTGTTTGTTGCTGGTTGCTTGCCATTTTGGCCCTTTACACCTGTGTACAGCAACCGTCATCAAACTTAATATGCCTAAAGTCAACAAATTCCTAATTTTTTGACAAGTTTCTTTAGTTTCCCGTATGTCGGCACATCAGTAGGATGGCTGCTCCCTCTAGTGGGCAAATGGCGTTTGCAAACAGAGGCCATGTGACTACCAAAGCTCGTGTGGACTGTAGACCAATCATTGTTGATCAGAGACGCCTTTCAACGCTTTTCAACAAACGTTGTTTCCATTGCATAAATAGAACTCCATCACTCAATTCCGAGTGTCACATCAACTGACCCCAAAATTGTCCTCGTATATCATGGCATTGAAGTGATGCCACCACGGTGAAATGGTTTGCACACTGGACTGGATTTGCAATCCAGAGCTCGCCGATTCAAGGGCGCGGCAGTTGAAACAACGGTGGAAGTTTCTTAAGCCCCCCCCCCTCCCACGTATGGTGGGGTAATATATGGGCATATCTACATCTTCCATGGCATTTGCCCAGTGGAGAAGAGTAGGCTAAAAATACATATGCTTTCCAGAGGGGCTCTCTGGAGCTGCCTCTAGTGTAGGCCCTTCCGCCTGCAGGAGCGTAAGCAGGCAATTGCAGGGATGCACCTTTACATTTTTAAACCATACTGTGCGATTGCACGTAGAGTAAGTCACAAACTCGTGTATATTTTGCCTTTCGCTTCCTAATTTTTTAGCCTGAAAAGTGACAATTTTCATAACCACGGCGCTATTGCTGTTCGTTGCAGTGGACCAGACTGCGCCCAATGGACACGGACGACATTACTTCTCAAACCCCAGCTACCACACGCTGTCTCAGAGCAGCAGCCCGCCACCTCTGATGCCCAACAACTTGAGCAGAGGCGTCAACACCAAGGTGACTTGGGCTCGCTTTTTTTTAGCGAGCACCTGTCCCGAGACGAAGCGTTTTCTCACGGAAAATGTTTTCACCCGTATCTGCCGCACGACCGTCGTCAACACGGAATGAGATTGGCGAGCGGTTGTATTTTTCACGTGGGAAAGTCAATTTTTTCTCTTTGTTCTGGGCATAGGTAAAAACTTATTGGGCAAAAAAATTGCAAATTTTCGATGGGGACATGGTTTTGCAAAAATGCTTGCAAAACAATCCAAAAACAATTGTGCACGGTTATGTTTCGTATGGCAAGGTCGTGCATCAGCACAGTGCAACCAGCGCAACGAATACAGCGCGAGGCTGGTAGAATGGGCATCACATATAAAAAGTCTTGGGTGCAAAACAGCACTGAGGTCGACAACATTGTACAAAAAACCCCATGTATAACTCAAAGTCTGCGAAGCAGAGTGATCAATTGCACGTACATGTCAAAGAAATCTGAAAATGTCCATGTGTTTTTTTACATGGCTAATTTTTTTTGTTCCCACTTTAAGAGTTACACCGAATGAAATAAATAAGCTTGTTTTGTGGTATTCTTTTGGTCTTTCGGTAAAGTCACTTAGATAAGTTCAAAGAAAATAACAAAAAACTACGACGTTTCGATCGCAACACAAGCGTTCGTCATCAGCCCCTCTTCCTGATGACGACCGCTTGTGTTGAGATCGAAACGTCGTAGTTGTTTGTTACTTTTTGTTATTTTCTTTGAACCTCTCTACGTGACTTTACCGAAAGACCCAAAGAATATGAATTTCTGCAGTCACGAAAGCTTTAAGTCTTGTTTTGTGGCTCACATGAGCTGTCTACTGCCAATGTGGATACACTGACGTGATGTCATGGTCAGCACAATGTACTTGCAATACAGCAAGTTGTCTGTTAAATTTAATCTCCCTTCCTGGCAGTTTAAATAATAGGCACGTTTGTTAAAGCTTCTGTTTACTCAACTGTGTACAAATAGCTACACCGCTAAGAGGTAGATGCTCCCACCTCATGCACGACGTCTGGCCAGCATGAAAGAGTAGCCCCAAATACCCTTAGGGCTGCCAGTGAATGTTGCTCGACAAAATTACCACGCCACGTTTGGCTTCTATATAACCTCACTTCTCGTCAAGGAGCTCAAACCATCACGCAAACAGCGGCCTTTGGATAACCACTGAACAAAGACGGTCACTGCGTTCGCACGCTTTCAGATGCGCTTCTGCATCTGAAAATAATCTTTCGATGTTAGGAAGCCACTGGAGCAATGCACTTTTATATCTATATTGAAAACTCACTTTTTTGACTGTTGTGTTTAATTTATTGTCATTCCCCCACACCTCCGATTAGTGCGGTTGGCAGCTACGTACGGTGCGAAAGAAGTTCAGCATACACATGTACATATAGTGTAACATAGTTCCCGCTTGTGTTCCTGCAGCACTATGTGGGCTTGAAAAACCACGAGCAGAAGCGCGGTGCATGCGGGATCAGCCACACCGCCACACTGCCAGCCGACTGGAAACGCGAGCGCCATGCCAACGACATGGGTACGCATTCGAGTACGTACACGCACGCACGCACACTCGTGCAGGGATTAACACTCAGCCAATCACTACCGCTCACTTGTCTCCGAAATCGGTATGCATGTGCAGTTTTTTTTTACAGAAGTGGAATTTTCTCTGTAGGTTTGTTTGGAATGGAAACGAGGTATGGCCATGGAAGATCACTAAAAGGTATTATGGACACCACATTGTATCTATATGGTGATTCACTAGTCGTGTTGATGTGTTGATCTATTTTTAAATTGGCCTAAATATGGCGGACATCAGAAGCCAAGCACGTGGTTGGGCCTGGTTTACGCCTTGGTCACCACCAGGGTTAGTCAGCTGTTGGAGCCATAAGGCTGCAAAGTGGCCAGGAGATGACAATGCTGAGTGTCTCACCCTCTCGTATGCATCCGTTTTCTCCGGATACTCTGGTTCCCTCAGTTTCCAAACACTCATTAATGAAATTTAATCAAACATCCCAATGTAGCACCCTCATGAAATAATTTCCAAACTATTAAAGGTTTCCTGAATAAATAGTTGACGTTTTATATAAATATCTCTTGGTTTTAAAATAATGTATGCAATGTATCCCTTAATTTGTAAGAATGTCAATGCAAATATTCATCTAGACCTTGGAATTATTACTTTTTTTAATGATGGAAGAGGGATCTACTCTGTCGTTGATTTCACCGAATTCCTGTTTCATCGCTGAGAACTGAATTATCACCCACCTACGCACCACTGCCAACCATTCAAATTTCATTCCCTTCAGTGCAGCAGGTGCTTTGCATACACATATTACATGGCTCTGTTACACAAAAGTTCACGTCACAGTAGCACAGATAAGAGACCCTGGGTCATATTTCCAGTGACTCATCCACAGATCCACAGTGCATTTTGCGTCCTGGGGGAGCGAGGCGGCGGTGCAGCGGTTAGCGCACTCGGCTACGAACCTGGTGACACGGTTTCAGCTCTGACTAATTTGGCGAGGTATGGTCTTAACGACGTACTGAGGCCTTCATCCAGCAGTGAATCAGAATCGTTATTTTGACTGGCGGAATCTGCTGAGCTATGAACCTCTTTTTCACAGATGTCCAGTATGGGTGGGTCAGACAGTTACAACTTAAATAATACAAAAAACCATAGTGCAAAATATAGATATAAATATAAAAATAAATACTTGTGATTTATCTAGATTGGACAAGGCAGCAAAAACAACAACAAAACAGTCCCAGAACACAACAAGACAACACACAGTCCCTCAATAAAATGGCACATTAACGTTGAACTATCGATACACAGGCAGTGATCAAAGTTTCCAAATGACATTTGCAAACGCGACTCCATCCAGTGGATATGAGACGGCGCCGTTCTCTCGTTTATGCCCCTAACCCCCGCCACTCGCCAGACGTGCTGAACGAAGCGGGCTGCAGTGCCAGCAACGCGTCCCTGAACAGCGAGAACCCGTACGCCACCATCAAGGACCTGCCAGGCACCGAGAGCAACTATGTGGAGATGCGTTCGCCGGGGCACAGCGAGCCGGCGGGGGGCGGTGCGGCTCTGTGCGCCCATGCAGCGTCCGCCATGGCCAGCAGCAACGTCTATGAACCTGGTAAGCGCCGACCCCCCACACCCCCCCCGACTAAATACTACAGGGGACAAAACCCCTTTTTAAATCCTTTATATTAAGTTCGCTTGCTTGCTTGCTTGCGTGCTTGCTTGCTTACGACCGTGCAAATCTTTCGGTCGTTTTTTAACCCACTTCCCGTGATCCAATCGAGCTGACATTTTCCACACAGACTCGTTGTGCGTGACAATTAATTTTCGTGAAAAATGTTTTCCAAAATTTTACACTGTTTAGGGAAAAATAAATAATTATTTATTTACCAATTGCTTAATGCTGGCAGACAATCATCTGACCCATAGGTGGTAGCCATCTCAAGCCAGAGGACGAGAGGACTCAATCCGCTACGCATATAAAGGATTTAGAGTGAAAAACTGTGTTTTTACGGGTTAATTTTTTCCCATTGATACATCCGAACCACACCAGGGATGTGCCGAGCCAAACACACAGATGCTTTGTGAGGCCGTAGTTGTTCACGCTTTGGTTCTGGGTCTGCACGGAAAGTAGCCAGTGGAAAACCCACACCTGTGCCATGACGGCCCTGAGCTGGCACGGCTTGGATGTTTTGATGGAGAGGGGGATTTGCGTCAATAGCGCATGCTTGCAGCATAGCTGCACTTGATTCTAGAGATTATCATTGTAATTAAAATACGTTTTGACATTGGCAGAATGCAGATGGGCAGTTGCAATTGTTTAAATGGTGTCACGGTTGGTCATTTTACTCTTGTTAAGGTTTTAAGCCACGTTCACTATAACGTTGTAACGTTATTAATACAAAAAAAGCATTTGAATACAAAAAGTGATTTCCTGCTATATTGCACCTTTCTTATAACAAATGTCTCAGAGAATAGTTTTTTTTTATATCTAGGTAACTTGCTGAATGTATTTCACAAGTAGTCCTGTGATATCACCTTCTACAGATTGTTCTCTAACACAGTTTTGAATGAACACTTCATCTTATAACATGACACGAATGTCTCCAATGGAATACAACTGCGAAAAACATTCGGTAAAGTCACGTAGGTATAAAATAAAATTAAATCACGACTTTTCGGGCGCAACACAAGCGTCCGTCATCAGGTGGGACAACCACAGCAAGAAACAATCGCTGAAGTGGGCTGAAATGTTTATTCCTGTGGTTGTCCCACCTGACGCTTGTGTTGCGCCCGAAACGTCGTGATTTAATTTAATTTTATACCTACGTCACTTTACCGAAAGAACCAAAGAGTATGGATCGCTGCAGTCACGAAAACTTCAAATCTAGAGGGAAAACATTCGTTTAAAGTGTGCAAAAGCAACAATACAAAGCAAAGTAAATCATTTCTACCGAAAGCGCGGTCAACTGACTGTACCGCGCATTGCCGCTCGCAGAGCCCACCATGACGCTGCCCGGTACATACGGCAACGTCGGAGCATTCGGACAGAGCCCGTACGACCTCCCAAGAAACAGCCACATCCCCGGCCACTACGACCTCCTGCCGGCCCGCCTGAGCCCCTCCTCGTCTCCCTGCTCCTCGCCCGTTCACGCCGAGTCCTCTCCCGAGGACGACGGCGGCGGCGGCGGCGGTGGGGGCGGCAAGTCGTGACTCGTGGCTCCACCGCAACATGGACCTAGACACGGGTCGGGGGGTCCAGCGGGCCGCTGTGCTGCCGGCGAAAATTAGAAAAGCGACGGTGCCCCCCCCCCCCCGCCTTTGACTCAAAGTGAGATGTCATCGGGCATGGAGTGCTGAACGAATGTAAATTCTCTTAACGTGTTCTTGTTTTTTTCTCGCCCATACCCCGCCCCCCCCCCTGCCCTGTCCAAGTATGAACTCTGAAAAAAAAAATGAATTTAAAATATTCCTGAAAAACTGGATTGATCATTCCCTTTCTTGAATATTAATTGCCAGCATTACAAAATAATATTTTTCCAAACACGTACAAGTACATTGTACAATGTGAGAAGTACGTGAATGATGTCCACGTCAAGTAGAGGGGCTGTATAAGAATACGTGCTGTGGAATTTCTTAAATGAGGATTTTTTTTGACTCGCTATCAGATACAGGCAAGGAGTATTACGTTCATTTTGTTTTTAAGTTATGACAGCTTATCGAACAAAGTCAACGTAATGGCGGTTTGATAATGTAAAAGTGCAGAGACCTGAAGCTGTTGCACAGGAGAGTAATTCTCATGATAATTGGGTAATAATTCTGGATGTAGTGAAGTGAGACAGGAATTGCTGTTCAGCGTATCGTAGTTGCTACATAAAACACAATTACGGACCGTTACATTTGGGTTTCAGTGAGAAGTAGCACAGTGGGTGGCGCATGGCCCTATGAAAACCCTGCCAACCTGATTTTGTTTTATTCCCGGCTACGGCTATCATCAATGGAGAATGATATCTGCACTGGTCCCAGATAAAACTCCCCCGTTCGTATGTATGTATTTTGAACTTCTTTCGTACGGTACATAGCCAACCATGCTAATCGGAGCACTGAACAATGTGAAGCATGGTCAAACAACCCCAGATGACCGACATGGCGTGGACAGGCCTTCATCCAGCAGCGGAACGGCAGAGAGTTGTAAATTGTTATTATGATCTACACTTTTCAAGCTTTAGGAAAAAATCCAGCAATCTGTTCACATGAATTAAACAGAAAGTCAACACTTAATCAAAACTCCTTCTGTTCCTCGCCGGTGGAGACATGCAGCCTCTTCACCGTTATGAGGAATAAAGTTAAGTATATTTTAGTTTGCGTTTTAGTCATGTCTAGCAGCATATGTCACACGTGACCAGATCTTTGCACGTAGAGGTTCATCTTGCAAGGCACAACAAGGTACTTTTGTGAAAGTCATGTTTTAAAAGGGATGATGTGTTCATGAAGTCCCAGCTCTTGCTAAAGAGATTCACGCTAAAGTTAAAGCAGCGAATAAAACCAAGGGAAAAGAAAATCGGAAGGATAAAAAGCAAAACAACAAATAAAGAAATGAAGGTCTATATTTAATTAGCCAAAGAACTGAGGGTGCCGAGTTTGTTTCTGTGTAGGAACATCCTTGTATTATTACAGTCGCCACATTTATTGTACGGAGCTTTGCTTTTAAAGGTTTCCCTACTTAAAGCATTCTGCTTGCTCTGCATGTTGGACCATATTGTAATGGGTCGCTTGAAACTATAGGCTTAACAAAGTGTTACTTTGCCTGACGACTGTAGCATATAAACATTTAAAAGGCGAGGTCAGACCTCCATCTCTATAACTCTTTCAATATAAGCCAGAAATCAAAATTTTCGCGTTTGCAGTGATCTTTGTAAATTGTAAATATTGTACTGTAATGATGAACGTAGACTATTTTGGAGAATGGAAACCTTACATCGCAAACGGATTGATACACGGTGCATGATGTGTGATTGTTCCACTTTTCCAAGTTAATACCCGTATTTTTTATGTGTATGTGGTTTTGTATTATGATTATCATGATTTTTTTTTAAGTTACATTAGCTTTTGTATTTTTTACCATGGCAGTGTGGATGTGCGCATGCTACTTCACATCATTCCTCAAGCTTCGGTCCCAATTCTAGTTATCTGCTTGTATGAATTTGCTTCAGAGTTCACAGTGCATTTTTAGTATATCCCCCCCCCCCCCAAATATTACATCTCATCCTATATGGTGGATGATTAGCATTACAGTACATATATATATTCAATAAGAGGCATAACTTCATATTTTTGTAAACACAATTCCTACACAGTATTTACCAGCATTAAGTCAACTAGCTTTGTCATGAATTTTGCATCATATCTGTAACGTCCTCAAAACAGATACTACATGCCTTGTAAAAAAAGATACAGCATTGCATTATTGTTTTTTATTCCATATATAATTGTAAAAAAAAAGTCTCAGTTGCTGGGTAACTGGAAACGCTATTTTTTAATATTTTTAAGCATGTCTCGTGTTCTTATTTTCGCAGTCATCCGTACGTTTCGTAGAATATAACCAAGGAGACCACGGTTTCTATTGTAGAAGCCAAATGTTCATACCCTCACAGACCTCTTCGTTTCAGCACTGGATCAATTACTTGCTGCCTGTCCGTAAACCGGCCGGGTGGCTAAGCGGTAGCTGGAGAGCACGTGGCTCGCAGTGCAAAGGTCACCATTTCAAATACTGGTCGGAGGTTGACTTGGCCTGTTTATCCCGCTGTGGTCGAATAAGTACCACTTTGAGTGGGAAGTCAACAGTGGGTGTCCTCTGGATATACTTTGCCCCATCATATTAATTTGAGAATTGCCACCACAGGCTCCCTGGGCTGTAAACAGGAGAGGAGTACCGCCTCAAGGCTCATTTGAGCAAGAAATCACGATTTATTTCGTCTGTGCGCACGACAAATGCGTACTCACTTCAACTGTGCAGTTGTACGGCAAGGTGAGGCAAAGTGAAATTTGCCTAATTTTAACTCCAGAATGCTGTGCTGGGAGACTAAACAAGTAACTGCCAATAAAGCACTGTCCATTTAGGGGAGCAGTTCTTGAGGCTGGCATGTGGCCACAGGACTGGTGACATCTAAATAGTATACACTTCATCTTATTTTGCAATCTTGTCAACCAGTAATTGTCTGGAATATTCCAGACGGTTAATCCAGGCAAGGGACATAGGTGTTTGCTTCTATGTTAAATGGGGGGAATGTCCTCTACAACTGATGTGCCATACAGCCGCCAGTCATTTCAGATGTAAACAAACTGCTGGCCATTCATTAGTGATTACATATACAGTTCCTGAATATAACTTGATGTACTAACACACGCTCAAAGAGCTCGCCAACCAGCCACCTTGATGAGCTACATGTAATTGACCATTATTTTCATTAGTCCTATTTACGTAATCTAAAAACTACAGTCCAATATCTTATGGATGATACGTGGTAAACTAAAAACTGCAGCACTTGTATATCCTGTAAATTGGGATCCCATTGTACGAATTAGATAGGATATATGCGACGCATTGAAGTTAATTTAATTGGTAATGGGGGAGTCCATCCAGCTATGGGATGGGGTTATTATAATCTGCTCCGCTCACAAAGGGGGTTGCATGCTGCGTCTTGTAATTGTCTCAGGAAAGCATTGCATTCTTAGCAAATGGAAGCGCCATCACATTAATCCAATGTTGCGTTGTTTTGGCCTTTTAGTATTTTCCCCCGGTAGGATTCAAGAAGCAAATTTATTTTTTTAATGTTTGCACTCAAATTATACTTTTTTTATCCATGAGAGTGAAGATTTACTTACTGGATGCCAGTGACGGTGCATAGGAAAGCACCTCGCAAAGAGCTGCAGAGTACATGTGAGGTTTGCGAAACAATATTCTTCAACACAGGCAGGTTATAGCCATGTATACAGTAGATCTAAAGTCCAGATAATTTCACATGAAAGCATGGCAACTAACACAAACTGATTAAGACTAACTTAAGGCGAACATAAACCATTTAACGTTCTAAATTACCAGTCAGGAATTCTTGAACTCCTATTATCTAGCCATGTATGATATATGTATTTTAACTTTATTTGTTGTTAATTCCACCACATTTTATCGGGACCCAAATTGCTGAGGTTTGGGAGCGTGATCAATCGCCTCTTGCCACATGGAGAAAATGTTCATACTCACTGCTTTTCCATAGCTCTATATTTTAGTGCATTCCACATGCAATGTGTGACAACCTTGTACTGAGAGTCATCACGAAAAATGTGGCCCACTCAAATTAGACTTGAGTCGAGAAATGGAGTTTTAATAAACTGTAGACTTCACCATCCGTTATTTCAGACATTGGCTTTTAGAAAGTGTTTTTGTTCTGCCGTAAGGAGTAAAAACCATCGTGCGGTACTTATTGTTACGTGTACGTTTGAGTACATGCTATTGAAAACTGAAAGCTTAGCGCATCCTCTACCACATACATTTGAGTTTTGAAACCAATGGCTATGTTTCCATTGATAGATAAGATTTTATTATGAAATGCCCAGTCAATTAAAGAGTTTACCGAGTACGTACAGTATTAAGAACATAAAATAGCAATGCATCTTACGTGTAGTCATATGTAAACATGGTAGAATTGAATAAGTCACCTAGTTTTTATTTCACATTCACAGAGATCCTCTTCATCCATTAAGATCTCGAACTTTTTTCGAGAAAAAAGTTAAAGTTCTCTTGTGTTTGACTGTCCAGGTATGCATACACGACCTATATTGTAATTTCTGCTGAAATAAAAAATGAGTGTACAAATATTCTTGTACATCATGAATGATCTCAAGCAAGGGTTTTCGGAATTTCTCTTATTTTTTTTACTTTTCTTTTTTACGCATATGTTGTTAAAATACATGTTTGTGTCAAAGTGATGGATAACAACACGCTTCCATACGTTACATTCAGAAGAATATCCATTCATGATTAACTATGGCTCATTAGTTTATTTCATGCAATGGCAGCTAAAGAGAAACACGCCGTCATACGTGCCGATACATGTACACGCTTTCAAATAGGTCATCCGGAAATGCCAAGATGAGTAATCGCTGACTTGAGATTACTGTTTTGACCGTACAATTGCATTTTGTTAATATGTAATATAAGCTACATTATGTGCCAATAAAGTTGATGTATGCTAAACGTTACGACTCGTCTTATTTCGTTGTGCCTTTAAACGATGTGTAGCGTCAATTCTGAACTGAATTATATTTGTACAACTTCCACAGTTGGTATCTGCTAAAATACATGTACTAAGGCAGTGTTCATTGTTTAAAAATAATCTAAATCGCCAATTTTTTTTTTATAATGAGTTCTGAGAAAATGTATATTCATATCACGTACAGGTTTAACTTAGTAATTACTGCACATATGCTATATACATGCACTAACAGCAGGGCTGTCATAAAATTTTTGGAACGGGTATTAAACGTACAAAATATAAATGTGATTTTCTGCTCAATGTGAGCATCGAAGTGGTGCTCATCTTCCGTTTACAGCCCTGAGCCAGTGATGGAAGTTCCACGTTCCTGTGGTGGGGGCGAGTTCTTCCATAGGACAACTATCGTTGACTTATCCAATGTCGTTTTCATTTTACTGACCCCAGAATGATGATGGGCTAAGTCATCTCCCAACCAAGATTTGTACTCGCAAACTTTCAATTGTGAGCCACTCGCTCTACTGCTCCAGCCACCTGGCCAGACATACAATAAATCGGCTTACAATAGTCATTTAACTATACAATAATCAATTACTTTAACTAGTACCAGTGATAGTAATCTAGAATTATAATACGTTTCTTTTGCATATGAATGTCTTAATATATACCTTATTTTGCAGAAGTTTTATGAGCAGATAATTATTTGTAAAATATTTCGTTCACCTCTTCAATTCAATGTACTGTGCATATAGAATATCATCTGCTGATGATTGTCTTGAGAGCATAATAAATCGGAGCAGATGAGCACCAGTTGACATCCTCTCCCTGGAACCCACGTGTTTCTTTGCATGCAGGAGCAATTGCTTTCATAAGTGTAATAAAAGGACTCGAACACTTCTTTCTGTCTTCGTGTCTTTATTCAGGTTCACGTCTTTACCCACACGGCACTCTGTTATAACTCCTGTATTTGTAGCCCCCGGCTATTCACTGCTATTATAGCTTCCTCACCCCTCTGACTCTCTGCTTCATCTACTGTAACCTCCTCCCTGCAGACTCGCTGCTACCCCTATGTGCAGACCCTCTGGCTGTCACTGTATGCAGACCCGCTGCCCACTCTCTCTGTGCAGCCCCGCTGCTGACTGCAGCCTCCTTGCTGCTTCGGGTCGGTCACCGCTGGCCAACGGTGCCGATCCTCGCTTCCCCCGTGTTCGTGGCGATCACGCCACACCCCGCTTCGCCCTACGTGGCCTTCCTCTGTTCCTGGCTCCCAGTCACTCCCCCTGCTCTTCCGGTTCCCCTCCTTCTATACTCAACCCCTCTCCCCCCACGTGACCTAACTCCTCCCCCCCTGACGGCACCTCAGAAGGGCCGTTTACAACCGCATTACATCACCCTCCCCCCTAAAGAAAATCCAGCCGACCTCGGCTGAATTGCAACCTGAAAAGCAATGCGGGTGTAAAGGGCCAACACGCAAAAAGACACGAAGCATTGAAGAACATTATAACAATAACACAACACAACACAATCTAACGAAACGTGAGGGATTTCGAGCGAGTACGGGTAGCCGGGCCGTCCCGGACGGTCGGCGGCCCACCCGCCGAGCGGGAACGTGGAAGGGTTTTAGGGGCGACGGGCGCAAGTTCTTCCGTCGCCATTGGAGGCCCGCCACTGTCCCGCTCGCGTCCAGAAACATCCCGTACTCGCGTCCGCGGAGGGATAGGAAGAGCTGCAGGTCCCGTGGGTTCTGCGGCTCCGGTCGGCGTCCCACAAGCGGAAGGTCCTCCTCCCTGCGCTGTCACGGCCGGCTTGTCTGTGAAGGGTACGACAGGCGCTCTCGCAAGGTCAGCAGACACAGGCAAGGGCGAGTCGGCAGCAACAGACCCCGGCAAGGCAACTTGGGGAGATGACGCATCCGGCCGTGGGGCAATGTATGGCTTCAACCGGGACGTGTGCACGAACCAACGCCGTGCACCAACCTGAACACGCGCCGACTGTGGGTTGGGAACCTCAATGAGGCGGACCGGACCCTGCCAAGGTCGATGTAATTTAGGAGATGTACCTGGCCGCACCTGTGGGCAATGAAGCCAGGCCAGGTCCCCCTTTTTCCAGGGACACTCCCCCTTTGAACGTCGGGCACACCGCTCATTCCTGGCCTGAGCCTTGGCAGTAGCCATGCGGGCATTTTCCCTCGCCTCAGCGACACGCCGAACGTTGTCCTTAATATACTCAGGAAGAGGCTTAACAGGCCCCCTCGCACCGGTTCCCAACTGGTCATGAATCGGCGGCACGTTCTCACGGCCGTACATAAGGAAAAACGGCAAATATCCAGTAGCCGCGTGCGGCGTCATGCGATACGCCGAAAGCACCCCAGGGATATGCAAATCCCAATCAGATTGGTTTTCCCCGACTGTATGGCACAGCATGGCGGACAGAGTCCGATTCAACCGTTCCACCATACCATCCGTTTGCGGGTGGTAGGGGGACGTCCGTATCTTTTTAGTTCCAAGAGCCGCACACACCTCCCCCAACAATTTAGACGAAAAGTTACGTCCCTGATCCGTAAGGAGCCTCTCCGGAGCCCCTTTGTCCATTACATACCCAAATAGGAAGGCGTCCGTGATAGACGCCGCTGACTGGTCAGGCAAGGGCCAGGCCATCGGCCAGCGAGAGAGGTACTCCACCCCCACCAGTAAATACTTATTCCCTTTAGCTGATGGCGGAAAGGGTCCCAAAATATCTAACGCCACCAACTCATTAACCCGAGATACTTTAATCGATTGTATCGGCGGAACATATGGATGTTTAGGCGGCTTACGGCGGGCACAATCGGGACACGCGCGAACGTGACCGACGACATCCGTCGTCATGCCGTGCCAATAATAGTCTCGTTGCAGCGTCAATAGGGTTTTCTGCACCCCCAGGTGTAAAAGTGTGTCACAGTGCAAAGATCTAATCAACTCATAGCGCAATGACGCAGGCACAACGAGACGCCAGTGTTCCTGTATCCCTTCCCTCCACATCAGTAACCCATCTCGGAGAGCAGTTTCCGAATTACCACCCGCACCGACTTCCTTACCCGCCTTCTCCGTTCGTTTCCGTAACGACACCAAAGAATCGTCCAACATTTGCTCCCGAATCCACACAGACCTTGGAAGACGCAAAATCCCGTCAGCCGGTCCCCCTTCAACCGGTCCCGGTGTAAGCGGAGGTTCGAGAACATCCACTGCCCGCGCGACAGGCTGAGGGGGGGGCTGAGCCGGTCCACACCTATGCGTCCCCGACGCACACGCACAAGGGGATTGTTGCGGCAACCTGGACAGTGCGTCCGCGTTAGCGTGACGCACACCCTTCCGATGGTGAATTTGGAAGGAGAATTCTTGCAACGTGTCCAGCCATCTCGCCAATTGTCCGGATGGCTGGTCCATCTTAAGAGCGTACTGCAAGGCCGCATGGTCCGTTCGGACAATAAACGACCGACCGTACAGATACGGTCGAAATTGGCGGAGAAAATACACAATAGCCAAAAGTTCCCTGCGAGTGACGCAGTAACGAGTTTCCGCGGGAGACAAAACCCGACTCCCGTACGCCACCACACGCTCAACACCACCTTTTGACTGGGACAACACCGCCCCAATCCCGGTGTCACTCGCATCAGTATCCAGAATGAAGGGATGTTCAAAATCCGGATAATCCAACGTCGGCGCAGTAGCCAGTAGGTCGCGCAGGCTCCGAAACGCCGCCTCCTCCGGCGGTCCCCACACAAATTTGTGCCCCTTCCCAGTAAGGAGATGCAAAGGCCTGGCGATAGTAGCGAAATTCGGAACAAACCTCCGGTAATATGAGGCGAACCCCAAAAACCGACGCACATCACCCACCGTGGCGGGGGTTGCCCAATCCCGGACACACGCAGTTTTCTCTGGATCCGTGGCCACCCCGTCCGCACTAACAATATGTCCCAAGTATCGAACGGAACGTTGCAGTAGATGACATTTCTTAGGCTTGAATTTCAAATTAGCAGAACGCATTCTGGCAAAAACGGCCTCCAACCGCAATAAATGCTCATCAAATGTGCGGCTGAAGACAATAATATCATCTAAATAAATGAGACATGTCTCCCACTGCAACCCCGTCAATACCAACTCCATCAATCTCTGAAAGGTGGCAGGGGCTGCATTCAACCCCATCGGCAGACAGTTAAATTGGAACAACCCCTGCGGCGTACGGAACGCTGTCTTTTCCCGCGAGGGCTCGTCAAGGGGAAGCTGCCAGAAGCCCGAAGAGAGATCTAGCGTTGAAAAAAACTTAGCCCCTGACAAGGCGTCGAGAGAATCGTCCATACGCGGCAGGGGATACGCATCTGCCACCGACACTTTATTTAACTTCCGAAAATCCACACAAAATCGTAATTTACCATCTTTCTTTTTAACCAACACGACAGGCGCACCCCACGGGCTATTAGACGGAGATATAATATCCGCTTTCAACATGTCTTCCACTGCCCCTCGAACGTGCTCACGCTCAGCCGGACTCATCCGACGCGAGTTCAAGCGGATAGGGGCCGCGTCCCCCGTTTCGATGTGATGAGAGAGCAGCGAGGTGCGTCCCAAGTCCAAATCGTCCGAGCTAAACACATCGGAATAGCTCGCTAATAATTTATGAATCGCACAACGCTGCTCAGCGGAAAGGGCCGAATTTTCCGCACATAATTCGGCGATCCAACGATCGTCCACCCCTCCGTCGTGTGAAACACCACCCACCAGCCCCCCGTCCGGAATGTCACTCTGAGCCGTAAACGCCGTAGTGGCGTGTGCCACAACGGTACCAGCCGGCACACACACGCTTTCAGAAGTCGCATTTAACACCTGCAAAAACGGGCGCTGATCCGGACGGACAATGGTTTGCGCCCCCACCAGTGCCAATCCGCCCGTAACAGCGGCGGACGGCGACAGCAAAATTCCACAAGCACTCTGCCGACCCGGAACCGGCTTCCGGTATCGTAGGGGAATGAGCATCTGCGAGCCAGGTGGAATATCAACTGAAACTTCCGATAACGCCTGCACCTGGGCAACCGGAGCCGGTCGCCCCCAGGTGGACTGTAAAAACGCCAATTTGCGGCCCCCTGGCAGTTCAATGCAATTTTCATTGATTCTAATTAAAATGGGCATCTTAGCCAAAAAATCCGTGCCCAACAAGCAAGGAACCGCCAGGGACCTCGAAATTAACACAACGCCCGAGGCCGAGACCCCCCCGATAGAAATATTAGCGTCCACCTGTCCCACGATGCCCATACTACCCCCGTTCGCAGCGATGCAGGAAGCGTAAGCCGGCCTCACGGCCCCCGGTGGGATGTTCAAAAGATGGAATATGACATCCGAAATAATGGTCGCGGACGCCCCGGAATCCACCAAAATACGCACGTCCACCCCTTGGATCGACCCCGGTACAGTGGACGAACCTGTAGCGGCCGCGACAACCCGCCGAGCCAACTTACGCCACTGCGTTATCGAGCGACAAGGCGCAGATACTGGCCTCCCATATTTTAGAACATCCGCGTCGCACAACAACGGCGATGAGTGAGGTGTCAGGCCTTGCCGGGTGTCTGGTGCGCACCGACTTGCCTGTGCCGGAGGGTCTTTCTTTGGGACGTCCGCGATCGAGGCCTCCTGCTGGGGCGGCCCCGGAACCCGGGCCCAGCAGTCCCTGGCATAGTGGCCCCGACGGCCGCAGCGGAAACAGTCGACGTCGGGTCGGCGCGCAGCAGGCACCCCGTCCCGACGTGGCCGCGCCGGCGGCGGAGCCCGCGGCCCCGGCTCGCTTCGAGCCGGCCACGGAGTGGAGGCGGCCGACAGCTCCTTTGGGCCGGTCGCATCCGGCACGTACACGGCCTTTGTAGGGTCCCACCCTACGGCCCCCCCATCGACGACAGGACCGCCCGTCCACGCCGTGACTTGTTTCCAGCGGCGGAGATTGAACTGGGCGTCCAAACACTTAGCCGCGGTCCGGGACGTGAGTTTCTCGTGACCGCAAGCCGGCATAGGAATGCCCAGATCCCGGGATAACTCCAACATCTTCCCCAAGATGAGAGGTTCCAGCAGGTCAGGCTCCGTCTCCGGGTAAGCGGCCATCGCGAGTTCCAGCACGGCGCCCCTGTACGCTACAGGCGACTCCTCCGGTGCGCGTTGCCGCTGCACGAAGCGGCGATGGGCGTCATCCGGTGGCTCGTACGCGTCCGCCATTTCGTCGAACACTCCACGCAATGTTTTCTTCTTCGCAGCTTTTATAGAGCGAAAAAAACGAACAGACTCATCGTCAAGGAGAGTCGGAAGCACCTCCAGCGCCTCGGCGTCCGTCCACCTTGCCGTTCGTACCGCCGCCAAAAATCGACAAGCGAACGCACTCCAATCGCCCCCGATGGAGAACTCCTTAACAGTTGTAAGGTGACCACTGCGGCTCCTTGGCCTGCTTCCGTCCGTCACCGACTCTTCCGGCGGCAAGTTCAGCAAGGCGTCGCAACGCGGTGTCGCCAAGATGGCGGACGATCTTCGTGGCGGCCCCAAGATGGCGGCTTCCCGCCTTCCGTGGTGCGCCACGCCCAAGATGGCGTCTTCACGCCGCGTGGTCGATGGCGGCGCCATCGAAGACGACCCGGGCTCCTGCCGATCACCACCATCACCTTCCAACGCCGCCCTTGGCGTGACAAGGTCACACAACTCCGTGATGACGGTTTTTAGGGTCGCCAGTTGCTCCGCCATCCGGGTCCATCTTAAATCTTCGTCCTTCAACGCAGATGGGTCGGGCGCAGCGGCAACCTCCTCCACACCCGGGCCCTCACGGATCTCTCCCTCCGCCGAAGTGAAGCCGACCTCAGGAGGAAGATCGTCGTCGTCCGATGATGAAGCCGACGCCGGAGATGGGATATTCTTCTTCCTCAGTTGTTTCGCCATGCCGTTTCACTTCTGACTCCAGTGTAATAAAAGGACTCGAACACTTCTTTCTGTCTTCGTGTCTTTATTCAGGTTCACGTCTTTACCCACACGGCACTCTGTTATAACTCCTGTATTTGTAGCCCCCGGCTATTCACTGCTATTATAGCTTCCTCACCCCTCTGACTCTCTGCTTCATCTACTGTAACCTCCTCCCTGCAGACTCGCTGCTACCCCTATGTGCAGACCCTCTGGCTGTCACTGTATGCAGACCCGCTGCCCACTCTCTCTGTGCAGCCCCGCTGCTGACTGCAGCCTCCTTGCTGCTTCGGGTCGGTCACCGCTGGCCAACGGTGCCGATCCTCGCTTCCCCCGTGTTCGTGGCGATCTCGCCACACCCCGCTTCGCCCTACGTGGCCTTCCTCTGTTCCTGGCTCCCAGTCACTCCCCCTGCTCTTCCGGTTCCCCTCCTTCTATACTCAACCCCTCTCCCCCCACGTGACCTAACTCCTCCCCCCCTGACGGCACCTCAGAAGGGCCGTTTACAACCGCATTACATAAGCAATGTGAATGTGATAGGCATTTAGTTATAACATCTGGCAAACCAGCAGTGTGTGTTAGTATTCCCGACAATACTGATGAGGCCGACATCTGAAAAACTGGCCCAAAGTTTACGGGTTTAAACAAATACCAAAAGTTAACATAAGTCTGAAAGGTTAATAGGCCCATCAACTTTTTCTTTTAATGTTTGTATAAATATGAACGAAATGTTAATTACATGATGCATTCCTAAATAATTTGATTTAAAAATGTACGTAGAGAAGGAGAGGGCACATTAGATAACTAAACAATAAAAATGATTCCGTTACACACTTTTAACTAGGCCACGATGCCTGCAAGACACTCATCTGAAATTCAATTACTGCATAGAACCTACAGAGTGCAAGAGTGGAATAAGTCGCGTGCTTAATTTTATCTGGAACAGTCTGGAATGCTGTTCTGGGAACTACTTTGGAATACTGTTGTTGAAATATTGTGGCGTGTGACATACATCACACTTACTTTAATGAAAACCACACAGAGCATAAGGGTAAGTGTATGGATCTAAAGTTTAGGAAACTGGTCATAGGATTGTGGAAATACCGCATAGTGCACAATACTATAGGATGATGAGGATACATGCTTATGTACTCTAGTGGTCGTGCCATATGTCCATAATCCCTCCTCAAAGCCAACCTGGCAGCATTCCGAAGAAGACATCTGCTGCATCGGCTTACATAGATGGCTCTCGAACCGGCAGGTACTGGGTAACTGGTAAAAATTAACCCGTAAAAACAAAGTTTTTCACTATAAATCCTTTATATGCGTGTTCAATGGGCCACAACCCAGCCCACATTGGTCTTTGAAACAGGCGGCTAGAGTCCTCTCGTCCTCTGGCTTGAGATGGCTGCCACCTATGGGTCAGATGATTGTCTGCCACCATTAAGCAATTGGTAATTAAATATTTTTAAAAAATTCCTAAAAGGTGTAAATTTTTGAAAAAAAAATTTACACGAAAATTCATTGTCACGCACAACGAGTCTGTGTGCAAAATGTCAGCTTGATTGGATCACGGGAAGTGGGTTAAAAAACGACCGAAAGATTTGCACGGTCGTAAGCAAGCAAGCAAGTGAACTTAATATAAAGGATTTAAAAAGCAAGAATATTCAACTCAAAGCCATCCAAAAACATCATGGAAGCATCTAAATATAATCTGCTCATACATGGCACACAGAAACATATTTTCAACGGTTTAACATTTCAAAATTTGAAGCAGTTTGATTAAACCTGTATTTTTATACACTCCGTTAAAATAGAGCCAATCGCAACATAAGATAAGTAATATTATAAAATGTAAACACGCTTTAATGAAATGTACCGTACTAGTAATGGAAAAACTCCAGGAAGTGGCCCCGAAGCTTGCCATAACGTGAGGGACCATGGTGATTTACAGCCAACGTGAGTTGAGCGTGGACAATAATACCCAAGCCGAAACATAACATATCAAAACAATGTTTAAAAATATACATACTTATTTTTTATGATAGAATATAGTATTGTCATCAGTATGACATAAGCATACCAAGTTTGTAGTCGATACCACATTGGGAAGTGGGTTAAAATTTAGTTACAAGATTTGAGGATACAAGGACAGACAGAGTTAATAAAAAGCGTGTAATAATTAGCATGAATTCTACCCATTTTAAGTGTACAGTATTTAATATACTGTATATGTGCCATAATAAAACCGGTATTATGACAAAGCAATACAGACATAATTCATGGTCCGTAATTGTTATGCATTGCTTTGTGTCATGCTTCATACGCATTACAGGCTGCTTACACTTTTAGATTCAACAATGTTTACTTTTCATGACAGATCATTTCGTTGTACACTGCATCCATCATAATTAAAATATCTTACACGTACTTGCTGCGTTTTACATTCATACTCAAAATTACATTACTGCATTTGCTCAATGGCTGTCACGCTAAACATTTTTTGGCAATTTCATATTTTAACCATGACATATATAGGATAACGCCTTTTATAAATGACAATGTGCGGGAACAATCTCGCAGAGCCTATCATCCAGTGCATATAATCGTGGGCAATTGGAAGAATTTGGCTGTGAATATTGAGGTTTGCGGACCCAATGGCACTCAGAGACAACAAAAATCACGGGTAATAGGGTAGCAGCTAGAAGGTTCTTCTGGATTGCAATGCTTTCCTCGTTTTGTGCTAAGTCGACTAGCGTTTTTAGATTAGAACTGGCTTTCACAAATGCATAACTTCACTCTTTGGTTCTTTCGGTAAAGTCACGTATAAAGAGAAAATAATAAATTAAATACTAGAATACGACGTTTCGATTGCAACACAAGCAATCATCATCAGGTATAAATGAAATAGAAACACAAATCTAGTCTACTTAGAAATGTAATGTAATACAACAGTCGGATAACATAACAGTCAACACCCTACCTGGTTAATTACGTTCAATCTGAGAATGCTAAATTTGAGAGAGAGATAAAACACAGAACCAGAGACATATAGACAGACATATAAGTAGAGACAGATATCACGGAGATACATAGAGAGAGATACATAGCCACACAGAGAAAACGCGTCTCTGTGTTTGAGTATGCATAACTTCACTCTGATATCAATCCTGAAGCGGTGTAATATTCACCAAATGCTTAACTATATCTGTGGCTATTGCACTCAAGTCTCTGTCTACATCGATGCTAATAAAATATTCCCCTGCTGTGGGAGGTTCCAGTGTGGCCAGCTGAGACTGCAGAAGTTCTGGAGACATGAAGTGTCCTTGTCTTTGTTGCAGTCTCCTTCTGATCGTCTCTGCTGAAGCATGCAGATGCACAAATAAGACCTCAAGCTCCGTCTCCCGTTTGTCCGTTGTGCCATTTGCGAGTATTCCTCTGTAGGCTTTCTTGAGTGCAGAGCACGCCAGGATTACATTCCCACCACCTCCAGCAGTTTCCCTTAGTTCATCAGAAAAACAATTCATCAGCGCGGAGAAGGTGAATGCAGGCGGTGTGCTAAGAAGGTGATCGCTGTGAAAATGTGTGCATCATTTAGAATAGCGGCATTAATATGTACGTGTAAGAATATATTGTGACTGTAACCATCATTACAAGAAAAATAATTACCCATCTCACCTTAGAAAACTGTGCAATGACATCAGCCAAGGGAACCTGTCCTATAAAAATACATTCCATGTGCCAAGAAACATTTTAAAAATAAGTGCATACAAATACAGAGCGTACCTACAAAAACTATCTATTTATACGCTACAATAAAATAATTATTTAGGTCTTTCTTTTCAAAATGATTCTTACAATTTCATTGTTTTTTTGTATGCATCGAAATATGTCATGCATATCGCTGCAAGTTGACAGCAATTAAATATCAGGTGGAGTTGGTCAACCTTTTCGCAAACATCTTTAAGTGGTAAACTGTACTTTCAAGCTGTGCCGATAGACAGGCACAATGTGAAGCTCTAAGTTCACTGGAATTAGCATTTGGACTATAAAATAATGTTCATTTGTGGTGTTCACTTATGTAAAAATATGTACTTTTAAGAACCTTTTCACCACCCCCTTCATATGCATTTATGTTTTAAACCTCATGTAATTTGCATTAAGACAATTTTTTATTGGAGTGAAATGCAGATCATATGTGTACAGTATGTTTAACAATGTATTATCTTAACATCCTTACCTCATCTGTGAGAGATATGCCTTTTTGCATTTTATCTTTGTTGCACTTTGGATGAAAATCATCAGCATCCAGAAACTTCCAATTCATCTGCAACGAAGAAGCATTTGCCATTTATTGGGTGTCTCTCAGATCCTGAAATCTTATACCCAGGAAAGCCCCACTGAGTCTCAAGGCTCTCTTTCAAGTGGGTCCTGCCAAGTTTTTGTTGCTGCTTTGCGTAATCCCAATTAAATAATATGCACATAATTCTTCAGCAATGGGGAAGTATGGGCAATACAGGTTACAGTTATTTTTTTTTGTATTAGTTACGGAAGTAAACTGGAGAACCTTGAAAAAAACACTAATGCAGAGTAAAGAGAGAACATACAAACGGCACACTGAAATGTACCCAGGTCTGGAATCAAACCCAGGGTCCCCCTTCTTGGTGAGGACCACATGCTACTACTGCGGCATCCTATATATAGAGCGCGACAGGCTTGGGCCTACAAATGTGAGGCCGTGGTCGACCCAGAAATACATGTATTGATAACCCTGTTTTTGCTTGCACAAGGCTCAAAATGGGACAAAATCGCAAGAATTACCGGGGAGAGAGAGAGAGCCCTGTGGTGTAGGACAGTCAATCTCAGAGCCAACCCTCGGAACAAGGAAAGACAGAAACAGAGCGAAATTTCGCAATCTTCACTCAGATGCGTACCGCATTGCAAAATGTTTCAGTATTAATGAGCACTGCTCTCCGCCCGTTTTGCACAAGTTGAGATGGTAAATTATGGATCTTGTGACTGCGGTCGATGATTTAACTATTTGTAAAGAGGCAATATATGGTAGAGGTAATTTAGATTAAATGAACGTCTGCAGTTAGTGGTAGACTACAAACAACACCTAAAGACAAGATTCTGTTTCGATTTAAAGCTTTCGTGACTGCAGGGATTTATCTTCTTGGTTCTTTCGGTAAAGTCACGTAGAAGGGAAGTAATAAAATAATAAAACATAATAAAATAATTATCACGACTCTGTCTACTTGAGGAACCTGTTCTCCACCTGAGGACGGCTGCTTGCGTTGTGGCCGAAACGTCGTGAGAATTATTTTATTGTTTTATTTTTATTATTTTATTACTTCCCTTCTACGTGACTTTACCGAAATAACTAAGAAGACAAGATTCTGTCTTTACATACATGACTGTGAGCACACTTCAATTCTGAATTCTTATAGCAATTGACATGACTCATACCGTGTGAACAAGGGAAGGTAATGTAACATGTAATTGATGTCGTACATCTTTTACACGTATATTGCTTAATGGTGCATGGTGGAGTGTTCACTGCGTATAACTTAAAGGTTAATAGTTCTATTGAAAAAAAATCAATTCCTTTTCATCCCTTTCTTTTATGTTTTAGTGCTGCTTTATACTGGGTAATTGAAGGTTCAATTTAATACCTTAAAGGTTAATTTAAGGCCCTTTTTGATTTTGGGAGATTGAAAAGTTAAGAACCCAGTAGTAATATTAGAAAAATGTGAAGCCCTGGTCACTGGAAAGCCATCTAAAATTAATTTTGTTGCATAAACCATTGGTTTTACATGACGGTTATTTTACCTTTTCAGAAAGCGTGTTTCCAATCGTCGACCTATGCAAGAAAAACGGCCATGAACATCGTCAGTAAATGTAAAACGTCCGTAGATGTAAAACGTCCGATATACATTACAATATCAGCGAAGAATAACGCATCCTATAAACATTTGACTGTGGCCAAGAGATGGCAGTGTTGAGTGTCACCCTCATGTCTACGCATGGTGAGATTTCTCACCATGCATTTCCCTTCCACACAAAGCCACCCGTTTCTAATCACACTGGCCAACCATCCCAATGCAGGACCGTCATGAACACTGTATTGTGACTGGACAACAGGCGACTTCAACATAAACACCATACAAGACTTCACTGCACCATACAGAGCATACACTACTGTTACTTCATATACAAAGACAATACGCATGAGATGTTCATGTAAAGCTGTCCTGACATTAGGGACTTTAATTGGATACCGGCCACATTGATCCAGGGGGTTGTCCTTGGATCAATTTGTATGTGGCGTGACCGTGGCAGAACACGACAGTGAGAATACCACGTACTTGCTCGTCTTCCCCGTTTGCTGAAATGTCAACTAAAACATTTGCACCTGATATCATTGAAATTTGGCTTACCTTAGACCAGGGGTCGGCAACCGGCAGATCCGGAGCCACATGAGGCTCTGTTAGGACTACTTTGTGATAGTTATTAAGGACTGTACCTTGGACATGCCTTTTCTTCCCACCGAATTCTATAAAAATGGCTCTTCTTGTAATCTTTGGTTGCCGACCCCTGCATTAGACCCACAATGTCATTACTGAAAGTGTCATTACAACCGAGACCGCTGAAATGACACGACAGCGAGCAAAGATGGGCCATGTAGCCTGCAAAGGCTCTTGGTGTGGCCAGCATCCACGCCAATCCGCCTTTGTCTCCTCGGTGCTGATGCTCACACACCGCACCAGGCTGGTACACATTCACGTAGCTAAAAAAAATGAAATTAAAATTAATAAAAAATAAAATAATTTTTTAATTTCATTTTTTTACCTACGTGACTTTACCGAAAAAAACTAAGAGTATGAATCCTTGCAGTCACGAAAGCTTCAAATCTAGAATTGGTACACATTCGTTTAAGGCTGAGTCGACCTAGGCTTGGGGGCCCATGACCGGTTCAGGCATCACCCACCACTGATACTAGCAGCGGAATAAAAAACACAAGACAGGCTTCCGCGTTGACAGCGCAGTGCACTAACCACTGCGCCACCGCTCCCCACACATCCGCACACACAATTCGCCAAACCCCAGGACTCTACCCGTACAGATGTATCCGCGAATGGTCGATATCTTAATTAGAGGCGGTAACCACCGCCTGTTTTACAAGCCTGAGGCAGTGGTGGCAAATGCCACATTCCCATAACAGGGCTGAGTCCCACAGCACAACCTCTGTTAAAACTTCACCACAAAGTGATATTAATTGTATCGATCCCCGGTGGGATGATGGGCTGAGTCAACCCTCCCCCCCACCCCAGAGTTTGAGCTCGCAAATCTTCTACCCGACTGCGTCCGTCCGTCTCGCTCTGTCCGCACGAGCCGTGCTGTGTGTCAAGCAAGCAATGCAAAGAACAGACACAACGAACGCCTCTTACTTCCCGCATCCACACACCCCCATGAGAACCACAATCATCGTTGCACTGCAGCCCCCCAATGCGATAACTTTATTCGCAGCAGCAACGTCAAGCAACCGCGTGCTTCCGCAAACGTCGGAGCAGCGCGCGTCACTGTGACCGCTACATTAGGGGCCGTCCTTAAATGACGTCACGCACCTAGGGGTGGGGTGGGGGGTTATTGTGACGATGTGTGACTGATAGGGGGGGGGTGAGAAATGTGACGTCACATCAACATAGGCAACTTTAAATACATGTAGACAACACGTTCTAGTTACATTAAAATATAATTTAAATAAATGTTTTCTCCTACAGCATCAGAGTGCAGCACCACATTAAATACGCACTACAATGACAATAGCTTAAATCGATTTGAAGCATGTTTTATTTGGGGGGGGGGGAGCAGAGCTTTGTGACGTCATATTTTAGGGGGGGTCTGACTTTTGTGACGTCGTGTGACGAGGGGGGGGTCAAAAATCGTCCAAAATCGCGTGACGTCATTTATGGACGGTCCACTTAGCATAGTGGGCTCGAGCTCACTGCCTCCACGCCACCACCAACACCCCCCCCCCATGAAGCCCTCGGCAGCGGTGGCAGCCACTGCGTTGGTGATGGGAGTGCAAACAACAAGAAGCGACACGAAATGGCACAGCGAATATATTTGCAATGGAAGGCTTCAATGTTAACCGTTGGCACGGATATTCAAGATGATTCTACATTTATATGAACACGTAAAGAGCTTAACACAATAGTCAATTACAACGTGGCCTTAACAGAAACAATTATAATATATGTAACAGGCGACGTTCGGGAAACTGGAAAATATAATGTGCTATGAGAACTAGACATTGTCCAGAACGTCCACTATTATATTTATTTATTCATTTTAAAAGCCACTTATTAAAGAGTGTTAATTGCCTTTTTGCACCACTGGCAACGAAGGAGCATCACTAACCAATAAGGGCAATTATATATGTAGTGCAAAAGTTAGTTTCATAATGTAAGCCACGTTGTTTTTTCGTTTATTCAGTATTTTTAGCACATTCGCCTTGCAATGTCCACCCGATATGTAAATCACTGCTGATGCACCACAGTCCATCGGGAGGTGGCGTGTGGTGGGATAAAGTGTGGGAACTCCCACATCTTCTGATACGTCTGTTCAACGTTGATCAGGAGGCTAAACATATTCGAGAGGTACTCTCCAGAGCTCCCTCTAGCAGCAACAGCGGCGTGAGCAACTGGTAAACTCAATATTGAGCACAGGGTGCTTTGGCGTTTGGGGCCGTCCATAAATGACGTCACGCGATTTTTTACGATTTCTGACGCCCCCCCCCCCTCGTCACAAAAAAGTCAGACCCCCCCCCTCAAATATGACGTCACAAAGCTCTGCCCCCCCAAAAAAAAAAACATGCTTCAAATCGCTTTAAACTATTACCATTGTTGTGCGTATTTAATGTGGCGCTGCACTCTGATGTTGTAGGAGTGTTGTTTTCACAATTATTTAAAGTTGCGCATTTTGATGTGACGTCACAAATCTCAACCCCCCCCCCCACCTCGTCACACGTAGTCACAAATGTCTGACCCCCCCCCCTAGGTGCGTGACGTCATTTATGGACGGCCCCTTTGAATAATTCTTTAGGGTGTGGGGGAGAGGGGGCTTTCTGGGTACGTGGGTAGTAACCAACGTTCCCGGAGAAAATCCACGGGATACTAGGGGAGGAAAGATGCAGGGGACCCGGCGGAAGAGGATGTTGCACTCTTTATTAACAAGGCTTTATCCATCTTCTTGGTTCTTTCGGTAAAGTCACGTAGAATGGAAATAATAAAATAATAAAAATAAAACATCATAAAATAATTCTCACGACGTTTCGGCCACAACGCAAGTAGCCGTCCTCAGGTGGAGAACAGGTCTGTCGAGGAGACAGAGTCTGAATGGCTTTATCCAATACATTGTGGCTTTCATGACGAATTGGACAAGTGGCCAGCGCGAAGCAGTAGAGCAAATAGTAACTTGAGCGAGACATTTCCAGGGCTGTGCTTTTAACTTTTTTTTACCGCATCATGTCCGCACGTGCTCGAGCTATATAGCTTTGTAACGATGCCGCATTGATTTAGTCTTTGGTGCAGTAAGTAAAAGATGCATATTGAATTCTGTTTATATCTCCCCCGCTGAGAATTCGCGTGTGCTTTCAGGATAAACCATTGTGCGTTTGTATGAGTGGGAAACTTGGACTCGAGTATGTTGTTCTTTTCAAAAGTTATATAATCCATAATACAGGTTTTGTTAGTGAGATCGCGTAAAATAAATGTGTCGTTAAACCAGCCACCACCCGACACAGCCAACGAGTAGGGGTCGTCACGTAAACAGAACGTGCCAATTCGTCACTAGTACAGCACACCGGTGTGTTGGAGAGAAAATCACAACATTTACAATCTGAGTACAACGTTTCACCTGTAATTACAACCGGCATCATCAGGCAACAGCCAGATTTGTTTCGTTCCTTAAATAGAGATGTCGATGTGATGACGTCACTTGTGAGCCCTTCACGTACAAAGCGGGGGGGGGGTTAATGAATGCATATAAACTACAATGGGTATCAATTACAGCGTTTGGGTTATTTATATGGTATTCAACGTACATTGTGCATGCACATTGTTATTGTACCTCCTGTCGTTTGTGTGCACTAAAATAGCAGTGCCTGTTATTGTCAGCTCACAGCTAATCAATATTCACTATGGTGACATGCATAGGCATGCATTTAAACAATGCATTATTTGATTATTCGCTTCCAAGAAGCACTAAGTATGTAGCTATCCGAACGGTTACATTTCACCGAGACGACGGTTGTAAACTCAGCAATCATTGGAAGGATGTCATCAACCACTTTGGGTCATGACTTGATTTGTCTAACACACTTGGACTGCGCTCTCGCATTCAGCTCCACCCCCATCTCTACCCCCCCTCTCTCCCCCTATCTCTACCCCTCCCTCCCCCCATTGTCTAACTTTACGCCGCACTAGCTTTGCTCACACTGAAAGCCCTTAGAAGCAGTTGCATTTGGAGGCTTGCCCCCTCATTTATCTCCGGCCTGATGAAGACCGCTTGTGTTGCGATCGAAACGTCGTGGTTTTGTGCTTTTCTTTTCAAAAAAATTATATCTACGTGACTTTACCGAAAGAACCAAGCATATGAATTCCTGCAGTCACGAAAGTTTTAAGTCAAAATCCAATCTAGCAATTATATAGTACAGTGCCAACTTTATAAATGAGCCGTCTCATTCAACAATCACTTATCATTTCAATTCTTGCCCTGTTAAACGACGGCTGTGGAATCAATCTGCGCTGACAGATGAAGGCTTGCCACTGCATTCGTGGATTTGTCACGAATGGCAGGAGATTTGTTATTGTCCTCTGCAGTATGCTAAGTAGCATTGAAGGTAATTTCTCAAGGCCAAAACGCGCACGTTGAAAGTGAATTCAAAGAAGAGCTTTCACATGTAGTATCAATGATATGCATGAAATATTACTGTAGTTTGGAGCAGCATAAAATTGGCGTTAAGTAAAACGTGGTGAAGAGGTTGCAATGTAATAACGATGATAATACTCTGATATTGCACTGTGTTTGAGTTGTACGCCTTCTGGTGTCATCTGGTTCAACACCAATGAGGACTAGGCTCTAAAGAAAGCCGTCTCGGGTGTGGACCAATCAACTTCAAGGACAGTGCATACATTATCATTATCAGAGTTGCTTCTTTTTGTTTGCTTTTTTGACTACTTGTGTTGTGGTTATTGCAAACATGATGCCTTGAATAAAGGAGTCAGTTTTGTACCAGTTTAAAAGGATAAAAACCTACTACTAAATGATGATAGTGTTCACCATTGTGTGACCAAACTTGAATATGGTCTTGGACAAAGGTGACGATTAACACGATGATGACGATATTTGAATAATGAAATGCACGAGTAATTGCAAAAGCCCCATAATGCTGACAATCGCTGGATTTCATTATTTTCACTACACCCTAAATGCATTTGTTGAAACGAACAGGATTTAGGACGTGTAAGCTAAGACCCTGGTCTGGAGTTGAATATATATTCTCCATTAAATCACGCGGCGCGACGGTTGAGATAATGGAGCAAATTCTTAAACCCTCCGCCTGCCTCTTTTGAGTCGGCGGCATAAACTAGTACACCACAGTCGATCATGAAGGTCACGTGTGGTGGGGTAAAGTGTGGGTACCTCCCACTGATTCCGAAACGTCTGGCCAACGTGAACGGAGTAGGGCAAAACAAGCTCTTCTAGAGAGTACCCTCTGGATTGAGCTCCCTCCCTATCATGCACCCCCCTCTCTCTAGAGCCCCCTTCAGTAGAGACCCTTCCTCCGGCAGTGTCATGTGCGAGCAATTGCAGGGCTGCACCTTTACCCGTTAACCGTTATTCGAGAAATAACACTGTGTAACAATTTTTTTTGTTCCTGGGTAGTGTTATTTCCTAATTGCTTATGCCTCAAAAGTACAGAAAATTATTATTATTATTCCCCACAAGCTTTGCTTTTCTGACCAGGACAGTGATCTTGATTTGAAGCTTTCGTGACTGCAGGAATCCATACTCTTTGATTCTTTCGGTAAAGTCACGTAGGTAGAAAAAATAATAGATCACGACGTTTCGATCGATGACGATTGCTTGCGTTGCGATTGAAACGTTGTGATCCATTGTTTTTCTACCTACGTGACTTTACCGAAAGAACCAAAGAGTCAGGACAGTGATATTTTGAAATGTACCTAATTTCAATGAGAAAACGGGCGAATTTGTCTTTTCGTTCATGTAAAGTCAGAAAACAACATATGAATCAAAATTAACATTAATTTTTAAAAAGTTATACAAAAATGACGACGAAAGATTTAGACACCAAGGCGCACTACCACAGACGGGACTGGCCACAGCGGACCGAGTTCTCTGTGGGGAGGAACAACGTCAAGTGGGAGCCACTGGTGGACCCCCGTAAAGTGCTGATGCCACCACTGCACATCAAATTGGGCCCCGTGAAACAATGTCAGAGCTGTAGAAAAGTAGTCGGCAGCCTTCAAGTACCTTCAAGACTTCTTCCCTAAGCTGTCTGAGGCGAAGGTCAAAGCCAGTGTCTTCGTCGGACCACAGATAAAGAAGATCCTGGAGTGCAATTAATTCCCCAAGAAGCTCACTAGAAAGGAGAAAGCGGCTTGGGACAGCTTTGTCGCAGTGGTTCATGGCTTCCTGGGAAATCACAAGGTCGAAAACTATGTGGAGTGCATACATTATCAGAGTTGTGTTTTTTGTTTGCATTACGACTGCAGGTATTGTGGTCTATGCAAACATGACTCCTCGTAAAAAAGGTGTCAGTTTTGTTGCCAGATAAAAGGGTAAAAAACAATTATCATATTTTTTTACTGGCAAATGAGGTACCAATGGTGTAAATGCTTACCCCGAGCTCTCATACTCTGATGGTGCATTGTCTTTGAGTTGTGCGCCTTTTGGCGTCATCTGGTCCAATCCATGTGAGACTAGGCTCTAAGGAAAGCTGTCTCGGGTGTGGACCAATCAACTTCAAGGACAGTGCATACATTATCAGAGTTGTGTTTTTTGTTTGCATTACGACTGCAGGTGTTGTGGTCTATGCAAACATGACTCCTCGTAAAAAAGGTGTCAGTTTTGTTGCCAGATAAAAGGGTAAAAAAACAATTATCATATGTGGAGCTGGTTGAGACTTTGGTGAAGAACTATGGCACAATGGGCTGTAGGATGTCCCTCAAAGTCCATATCCTTGATGCTCATCTTGATCAATTCAAGGAGAACATGGGAGCGTACTCGGAGGAACAAGGCGAACGCTTCCACCTGGATATACTGGACTTTGAACGACGCTACCAAGGACAGTATAACGAGAATATGATGGGAGACTACATTTTGGGGGCTGATTCGTGAAAGTGATTTACAGTATAATTCTAAATCTCGAAAAACTACTCACTTCTAAATCTGTTGTAGTCATGTTTTGTATTACTTTAGTATAAATAGATGTACAATTTTTATTCATGTTGTTTTTTTCTGACTTTGTGCAAACGAAAAGACACAGATTCACCCGTTTTCTCTTTGAAAAGTAGGTACATTTCAAAATATCACTGTCCTGGTCACAAAAGCAAAGTTTCTGGGGAATAATAGTTATTTTCTATACTTTTTAGGCATAAGCAATTACTAAATAACACTTACCACCCAGGAACAAAAATTGTGTTCCATAGTGTCATCAAAGTGCCGCATAACCTCAGCGAAACGAGGATGGCTCTCCCCTTACTTTCAACGGCACGAAACAGCAAAGCTGCCTCGCCAAGTGCCCTTGGCTGCACACATCCCGTTCGTGTCCAAGGAGGCGTCATCTGCCGGGCAGATCATCCCCGGCGGAGATGAATACGCGAGCAAGGGGGGGCGCGTGGGAGGTGGGGGAGGGTAGTGCAGAGGACAAGGAGGAGGAGGATGAGAAGAGCAAGGGAAGCTGCCAGGGCTCTCGCTCCCAGCATCACCCGACAGCGTGCGGCACACGAGAAGAAGGAGGAGCGAGCGAGCGAGTGAGTGAACGGCCAACCAGGATGTTCGCGCATCGGTCAGGGGCAAAGACTCTTCATCTCGTGCACAAGGAAGCGCTCCGGTGTGGCTCGTGCGTGCGCGCGCGCGCGTGCATCCCACCCCCGCTGTGAGAACTCTTTGACGTTGTAACGTAACGGGCCTCATTGTTACCGCCGCACGTTGACAATTGATTGTGTTGCATTCGTTGCCGTCGCAGTCCAGACGATGGGGGCAGGCACCGGTGGCGCGTTGGTCAATTCTGGGCGCACGCGCGCGCGCATTCGCGTCCAATTGCACGGGCTGTATGTGTTGTGTATTGTTGGACGTTGTATATGTAGTGTAAGCCACGTTGTGTTGAATGGTGGTTGATATGTACACGGCCTGTAAGGAGAGTGATGTCATAACATTGTGTGTGCTGCAATTGTAAAGTGTACTAGCGGCATTGTTTCCTGTGTATCCTGTATTGAACAGTTGGTACAATGTGATATGAAGAATATATATTGCACGGTCTTTTGTCAGCATATGTACTGTGGTAGAGTGTGTTACATAGACACGCGTATTCTGATACGTGTTATGTTCTCTGTACTTATAGTACTGCGTACTATGATGTTTATATCTTAGTACGATATTCTTAACAAATTTTTTTATGACTGCGTTCAGAAATCTGATATTTGTTGATGGTTCATATGCACCGCAGCAGTGGATAGATCACGGCTGCTAAAGGTAATGATGAATATATCTGATGTATACTGTAGTTCATATGGCAAATTCAGTGCAAAATGTATACGGTATAAACAACACTGCTTTATATTTTAGACAAACGAGTATATCTACACACAACGTTAAGTATATGTCGTGTTCCATATATACAGTACTGCATATTTTATTGTAACAATTACTAGCGGCCGAATGTAGTCATCTGAAGGTAGCATTGTTTTAAATTCTCGGTGGCGTCCACAACAAAATGATCATTGTCGTTAAAGCTTAGGCGTCTCTGCGTCTTTTCAAAGTACTGCACTGTCGTTGTTACACAACGCTTACTTTGATCGCTGTCCATCCCTGGACCTGTCAGCACGTGTCCGTGTTCCGCGTGTGCGCTTGAAGCATCGCCACTGGGGAGACAAAGGCGGCCGGTGGGTGGGCGCTCACTGACAAACACTTTGCCCCAACAGTCTGCGAAAACACTACGTCGGCGGCGAGGGAGGTGGGGCAAATCTTTGTCTCTCTGTGCTTTTGTGTGTTGTTGTTGTTTTTGTCCGAGAGGACGTCGAGACGCGCCGGTAAAATGGTCCGGCTGTAGGTGCTGCTGCGCTTGACGGGGCCGTTTTAATGAGGGGGGAGATCTGATACTGTGGCCACGAAGCCGAGCCAATGCTGCGCCTCCGTCTGCCTGGAGCTGCCAAGGCTCAGCAACAGCAGCAGCAGCAACATCAACCCAGCGAGATCCACTGCACAGTCCGCCTGCTCGACCATTCAGAACTCACCTGCTTCATACAGGTATGGGGGACTGCTTCCACTCCCCCCCTCTCTCCTCTGCCACTGCGCCCAATTGCACAGGTTTCCCCCTCCACGTACAGGGTAAAGAGGTAAACAAAAATGCAGCCGTACAATGACACGCTCACAACACTGCTGTGTTGGAAAGGCCTCCACTAGGAGGAGCTCTAGAGAGCATATCTACATGGTATTTATTGTCTATACTTTTCCATGCTGGCCGGATATTTAAGAAGCGTGGCATCATTGTATCAACTTTTGTGCCGGGAGTTCAAACTGATGACCTCTCTGCATTACAAGCGCGACACCTTTTGTGTCGTGGCAGCATCCCCAGGCAAGGGATGTCTGCCACAAACGGGGGTTACCTGCACGGTACAGATGCTGGGGCTATGATCAGTTCAAAAGACATGTGCCCAATTCCATCAGACCTCAAGCTAAGCAGAGATGTGGCCTGCATCGCGCTTGGATAGGAGACCGCTATCCACAAAAGCAATCGTCACAGTCGAGGACAATTCAGCAAAATACTTTGTTCTGCCTTCCCCTACGTTTCACGAAGCCACACAGACTAGAATTGTTGAGCACAGTCGAATAACCCCCACGACCCACACGCAGTGGAGATACCCTCATCCAGCAGTGTGTACGTAGACGATGGGGGCATGGTCCAAACACAACTCGCATGCGTCAGAGATGTATGAGGGCTACACATTACACAGTGCGCACATCCCCTGTGGTGGTCCTGTGATTTTACTCACAAGCCGTTTGTCAATCCACTACTGGGTGAAGGCCTCCCAATGCCTTGTGAGTCAGAGAGGTCCTTTGACCATATTTCACCACGCCAGTCAATGTAGGTTGGTGGCGGGGATCAGAGTACTGGTTAGATATCACTCGTCACCGATGTTCGCTGTGGCTGGGGACTGAACTCAGGTCAACGGGTTCAACAAATGTGCTGCTTCTCCCTGTAACCACACATGTTACGATGTATATGACACATGTTGTAAAGTTGCATGCAGTTACTCGATTATTTTATTAACTTTGTAGCTATGAACATAATGAAAACATGCACTCTGATGTTTAGTTTCCAGTAGACATTCATAGCAACAATTTTCTGCGGTAATAATGAGCTTACAAACGTTTTATTTTAACGGGCAATGTTTCGTGGTTTTTCTTTGCACACATTGTATATCGTATCGTAGAAATGTTTTTCAAAAAACGCATTCGAAACGTTTTTTTGTACAGAACACAGGGTGCGGAGTGCATTTCCAGTGTCTAATCTTGCCACTTGTAGACAGCCATTCGGATCAATACTCAATTCCATCCTCGCGTTTATACAGCAGGCCTAAGTGGGCACTGGCATATGACGTGGCGTAAAAAAAACACCTTTTTAAAACCGGTGCACAGTTCATGCACCGATCGGCATGAAATGATCACCATGGTGGTCACAATTCTCTCGGGGATTTTTTTTTTTAATGTTCGCACATTTGAGGGCATGGGGTATCGGGCCTACGTCTAACATTTATCGTACGCACATCTCGGTGTGTAGGTGTCCTCACTGGAATTTGTTTTTATTGACCTGGCAGATGCATTGAAGTGCTGCTGCAGGGGTCTAAGAAGGTGGGAGGTAGCAGGAGGGACTTTTCATTCTTGTTAGCGGGCTTTCGTCAGCTGACAGCTCCATCATAAATGGTTGTGTGTGTGTATATCGCATGTGCACCCAGTCTGTAGGCAGGCACACGTAGCATCTCAAATTCCTAGGCATGTGTCCTGTATCGTAAATGTGTGTCCAGTGATTTAACAATAGGATGAATTCGTGACGAATTTATTTCAAAGAGTGGTTATTTATCCACAAGGTAAACATTTATAAAATAACTAATTTGGTATAACTTTGTTGAAATAATTATTTTTTACAATTGTATATGCCTTTGAAGTAGGCAATAGTCGTGCTTGCAAAATGTAGCATCGTTAACTCATTATAAATAACTTGTGGGTTAAGCCCAAATGCATATACTGTACATTCATTTAATTCCACGTGTGCTTTTTTCTATAAAATACGAACCTCAGCTGGCACTGAATGTGCTCGTTGAGAATGCGAGTTAAGTAGGTCACTTGACTCCCTCACTGCATTAGCGTCTTCGGTGCCATGGCAGATTGAATTAATCTTACGTGTCAATTTTGACTTTAAACTTTCGTGACTGCAGGAATTCATTTTTTTTCTGATGACGACCGCTTGTGTTGCAATCGAAACGTCGTGGTTGTTTTTTTTATATTTTTATTGAAAGAACCAATAATAAGTCTACATTATAGACTGCCAGTGTGCTCACTCAGGTTAAGAACCAGGCTACAGTCTACATTATAGACTGCTAGTACGCTCACTCAGTTTAATAACAATTGATACAGTCTACATTACAGACTGCCAATACGCTCACCAGCTTAAAAACCAGGCTACAGTCTACATTATAGACTGCCAGTACACTCACCCAGCTTCATAACCATTGCTACAGTCTACATTATAGACTACCAGTACACTCTCCAAACTTAAGAACCAGGCTACAATCTACATTATAGACTGGCAGTACACTCACCCAGCTTAATAGCCATTGCTACAGTCTACATTATAGACTACCAGTACACTCACCAAACTTAATAACCAGGCTACAATCTACATTATAGACTACCAGTACACTCACCAAACTTAATAACCAGGCTACAGTCTACATTATAGACTACCAGTACACTCACCCAGCTTAATAACCATTGCTACAGTCTACATTATAGACTACCAGTACACTCACCAAACTTAATAACCAGGCTACAGTCTACATTAGTGTTTTTTTTTCATTATTATTCCCTTCATGGTTTTTTTTATCTACGTGACTTTACCGAAACAACCAAACAAAATTAATCTTACGTGTCTTTTTTTAGATAAACATCAATGCAAGCACCGGGTTATGGAATTATCCTTGCCAGGTTGTCACGCTACGGAACAACCAGGACACGATAAACACGGGATCTTTTTTTTGCATAAGAGTGAAAGTTATTGAAATGTTAATTTTTATTGATGGCATACCCTACACAACAAAAATTCAAAGGCAAAATGCTTTTTTAATTCGTTTTTGTTTATCTCTAAATTATAACATTTTCTGCAATATTTTTTTTTCAACAACTGTGAGTCGAGGACTTGTTAATATATGTCCTAAATTACAGCTTCTTCACAATCTGTGTTTTGTACAGGAATTGTAAATTGTACTTGCTTAAAGTGCCGTGCATTGAAGTAATTTTTGAAAAGTATACGGTGCTGTATGTGAGTTGCTCACTCAAAAACAGAGACCTATGAAGTGGTAAAACGCATGTTAACGCTAACCAATGATAGAGCAGGCAATGAATACTATAGCAATTTAAGTGGATCAGCTCGGCGATTATGATGTCTGTGTTATCTTGTCAGAGAAGCATTGCCAATGTTTAGGTATATGTATCTATTAAGAAAGCGAAATACCAATTTAAAATTAAGATTGTCAGTAATATATTTGAGAAAACATTACGGAGTACATATTTCTGGATGAATTCAAACGTTTGTATTGGTAAACAAATGGCATATAATAGAAGACACATTTTGATAAATGATAGATATTTGAGTACTAACAATGTTGAAAAGTGAAACAATACGTGTCTGACAATATGCAGTTTATCATGGGACTTTTTTTGCCAGTATCAAAGTATGAAAACTAGAAACACAGGTGTTAGGATGTTCTAACACCAAATTTGTACCTTTTTCAAGGAATCAAGTCTGCATTAACCACACGTACTTGTGGTGAACATACATACAAACAAACATGCTATTTAAAATAAGTTTGACTCTGGTGTAGGCCAATCCGTTTCAAAGACAAGTATATTATCAGAACATGTTTGTTTGCATGTACACCACAAGTGCATGTGGTTAATGCAGACATTATTCCTTGCAAAAGGTCAAAATTTGGTGTTTGAACATTTGAACACCTGTTTTGTTGCCAGAAAGAGTAAAACCTATTCTTGTGTTTCATAATATGCGGTTTAATATTATTTTCTCAATACTATTCGGCCTCTCATGTTGCGTGCAATTAACTATAATTGTAGCCCTGTTAATGCCACCCAATACAGCAAATAAATTTACAACCAAATTGGATATTATACATTTTAAACATTGACTATCTGATTAAAATCAGGAGACAGCATGAAACACATCTGGCACTGGTGCTGCTTACATATACATTCGGGCTTTAAAAACACGATATAATTAGTTTCGTGATAAAAATAGTAGCAGTAGCAATAGACATTTATTTTTGGCCAGGTGAACGCCCATTGAGGTGGGGGAGCGGTGGCGCAGTGGCTTTCGCACCACGCTATGAACCGGGCAACCTGAATAAGATTATTGGCCACGGCTAAAATCCGGGGAGAGTAATATCTCAACGGGTCTTTGGTTACCCAAGCCACACTGACCAGCGTAGTGAAATATGCTCAAAGATCCGCAGTGGCTCGTGCAGCGTGTGGTGCCTTCATCATAGCCTGTAAAAATATGACCCCATTGAGACCAGAAATCTCTTTTTAAAAGGAAAACTACATACACGTACGTTCAGAAAAGAAACAGCACATTTTTTCAAGATCTGTAAAGCAAACAATGCATACAAATCTACAAATGCCATCTTAAAGAGTTTCCAGTGCATAAATTAACATGAAATAATGAAATAAAAAAGAACAAAGAGAATTCTGTAGGATTCATGCAGCTGTACATTGTGTTTTCATGTTGTACCTCGCGTTGATGTCATCGATTCAATCAACACACGGCACAAACCCAACAACACATCAGACAGTTTAGCATACATGGCAGTACCACGCGTGCAGAACAACATTAACTTAAATGGTTTATCTTGTTAAAATGTTGACAGCCAAATGTTTTTCTCTCATTACAGCAACTGATTTTTGGTATTTTTCGGTAGTATGTGAAAAACAGCACTGTTGTTAAAAAATGTACTTCT